CCCCTGTCTTACCTTGCATAGTCAATGGGGGTCTTTCCACTGGAGTCCAGAGCTCCAGGATCAGCTCCATAAACTGCCAACAGTTCTGCCTGTAACATCTGACCTGCTTTTGCTGCTATGTGTAGTGGGGTGTTTCCCTTTTCCTGTTGCAAAAAAAAAGGCACTGATGACACAGGAGTATTATATAAACTTACAAAATTTGTTTTTTGTTTATTCCATTAGACTTACTGGATGGAAGAAGTTGGCCTGTGCTCCCAAAGATAGGAGTCTAAGGCAGGTCTCCAGGTTTCCAGTCCGAACACTGGAATGGAGTTGCTGAAAGGTCGACAACAGTTTTTAAAAAAATCTGACTATGAAATATGCACATACCGTGCTGGCTTCACTAGATGCACCTCAAAAGAAACGGCAACACCTTGTGTTGGTTTTGATCATTTTTGTCAATTCTGAACTAATGGTTTTACTGGTTTTAGATCTGGAGAGTGAAGGCCACTGAAGTAAAACTGATTCCCAGACATTTTAGCATAAACAAATTGTCACTTGATGCATTAACCTCCTGGAAATATCATGTTGATAAAACATTAGATTATTGCACGGTTATTCCAGACAGCTACTTTGTAAGTTTACTTGTGTTTGAAATCACATTAGGTTGACTTTAAAAAGCTGCAGGAGGCTGGTTGCTGCTGTATACTGCACGCTATTTTGAGGGAGTTCTCATTTCCCTGTATCTCTAGAACAGAGGTGGCGATGCAAAATTTGCATAATTAGAGCCGCACTAGCCACATTTACACACAAAATGCAAGGCTGAAATAAACCACAATTATGTTTGAACTTTTCTAAATGAATACAAATGTGCAATGGATGATTTGCACCAAAATGTCATCTCTGTTACAGATCATGTAGTCTTAAGTAGTATTTAAAGAAGCATTCACTAACTGAGTGAGGTCAACATTTATGAGTGGCATAATTTTTAAAAGTGCACACTGAACACAATGCAGAAGTATGGGTACATTAAAAACCAAAAACAATAAAAATAAAATAAACAGACCATACAATTTCTGAAACTTGAAGCCACATGTCAAAGTTAAAAACAAAAGCATCAGAACTTGCTTTTCATTTACTTCCTCTAACAACGTTCTCTAACTGGGCACAGAGAGGATGAAAACGGCAGCTTGTGGCATTTGGGAACATGGCTTTATTTCACAATACTGCCATTTGTTTGACTGCATCCAAATGTCCCCATGTAACGATGGACAATGTTGGGCTAGTTTTACTTGTTAACACAGTCCATTCTCATATTAACTTCTCAACATTTTTCAACAGCAGAGCAATTTCTCACCTTGCTGAGGTCTTTTGTTGTTACACTGTCATCCTCCCGGCAAGGCATCCGATGGACATAAGCCAACATTTGATATTTGGCCTTGATGAACTCTGTCTTGTTGGGACTAAAAACAACAAAAGATGCTCATGTCGCAAAACCAGGGACACCAAAAATCTGGAGCACCATGGCTACTTTCACTGACTACCATGTCACATAATCAACCTTACATGCTTGTTTAAGAAAAACAATATTCAAAATATCTTTCAACTGATGATGTTCTGATGTTTAATATTGAAATCATATGCAATATGATATAGCTGTATTATTTGAATGTACAGTATTTGACTGGTAGCAAAGCAGTTCCTCCATTGCACACTCAAAATACCACAACAGAATTTTGGATTTCTTCAGTCAAGAAAAAAAAAAAAAGGCAAATGTTCTTACCAAAACGTTCTCACGTCTGATCCCACCACCGCTTGCAATTAAAGTTGTATATTCACTTCCAAAATCAAACAGTATTTATGCTTCCTCACTGTTGTACCAACTTAATCTCTGGCGATCTCTGTGCATATACAATGCAGTACACTGTACTTAACCAATGGAGAAGTCAACAACAAAATCTTTGTTCTTAATAAAGAACAAGAAGACTCCAGCTCATGTCCTGAAATGAACAGAATACCTCCTTGTTTTGTGAACGAAGCAGTACATAAGTTTAAGCAGCTGCAGGGTGTTTGTTTGACCAATCAGCAAACTCCACCCCAATAGTTTCTGAACCAGCAGAAAGTACAACAGCCCGAGAAGGGACCTTTTTTGAACACCTAGAACTATCCTAAAGGAACTAAATGTAGTCCTGGTTCCAGCATTCAAAACACTGGTTTAGTTTTTGGGTTGCTCAAAAGGCTCTTAGTCCCCTGGAAAGGTTGCTGTGATGGATACACCCAGTAAGTTAGCATTCATTTAGTATTTGAGAGACTGAGGATAGCGGCCTCCTGTTTGGTACAATGCATACCCCCTATCTGCATCTGTCTGTTGTCTGGTGATTGAACACATTTGCTGGGAGTGTGAGGGTTGGCATGGTGAGCATGACTGTGTTTATATGAGGCTGACTGTTTATCTTTACTCCACCAGGCATGTTTATACCTGGCAGTGGATGTGGGTGACTACATCACATCTATCTGCCCTGCAGATTTTGTTTTTTGTTATGTTGTCAGACTTACAGTACATGCTGCAAATTAAAACATATTCACAATCATTGAAAAGCTACACAGAATTAAAATTTGCTTGCATAATCATTCAGTTAATCGACAAAACTGACAATTCATTTAATTACTGCTACTTGTATTTACCTGAAAAGTCTGTGCTGTGAAGAACTCAAGAACTCATGTTCTTATTGTTACTTGAGACTGACTGGCCATGAGTCATGATTCAGAAGGTCAGTTATGCATGTCCACTGACCTTAGCTATGAAAATCAACTTTGCCAATAGGTTTATAGCAAAGTGCAAACAGGCACTAAAATCAAGACTGACACATCAAAATCCTTAAAGCACTTACTGGACTCTGTCCTGGGGGTTTGCTTTGCGCTTCCCACTCACTGAAGAGGAAGGGTCCAGGAGACTATGTTCCCATATTGAATTAGCTCCATTGCCATACAGTGTCTGAACCATCTAAAACATGACACCACACAACAGTTGTGTCTGAACCATCTAAAACATGACACCACACAACAGTTCACCTTATTAAGCACATCCATTTACATTATACAAAAGGTAGTCCTACAAGATGTACCTATGCAACCACTGTATTGTTTATCACACTATACTATATCACATGCTACCCATTTTCATCTGGATGTCTGGTGTGTGTGTGTGTGGGACTGTGCCCCCGACTCCTCACCTGCAACTGGGACGGTGGCCATGGAGAATGAGTCAGATGTCGGACCTGAGAGCTGTGTCGCCCCAGACCTCGATGGATGCTGCAGCACTCATCACAGATCAACACACCCCTGTTAACAGAGGCCCAGCGTGGCTCTATAACGACACGCAAATGTTGTTACGTTACACCCAGCGTTAAAGCATCCACGTAAATCTATTCTAGTCAGGTACGATATTCGCTAAATGACTGCCACAAATAAATGCACCCGTTAGTTGCTTCCTAACGCCCTTGACACATCTAAAAATAACCATCACAAATGCAACCAGGCGTATGTTGTACTACAACTCTTGTTGTTATGAGTTGGTTAACTAATTAAACTAACTGTGTTATCGTTAGACGAGCCATTCAATAATGTTAAACCATCAAGACATTTTAAGCAGTTTCAGAATCAGACAAGTTAATGTGACTAACGTTACAGAGGAGAGACACAGGCATGACACATTTTAACAAATATTTCCACAATAAGAAAAGATGTAACCATTAGCTATATGACTAATAGCTAATTAGCTATCAACGTCTGGTTAGCTAACTGGACGTAGTCAAGCTGTAACTTAGTACAGGCTAGCTGGTTAGCTAAACAGCTAACGTTAAAGCTAGCTTGTTTGACATCATACCCGGAGCACTGCAATCAGCGCAGACCTCTCTGCTTCGTACACGCTTTGACATCCCTTGATGGAAATCGTTTGAGTCCGGAATAGATAAATATTTGTACGATACCTTACAAAACTACTAGACAAAGATAAAACAGTAGCGTTACAGCCCGCCCGATAAATTGTATTTAACCCTTCTAGGAGGAAAAAGCAACTGTGCCCGTCTGCCCTCCCCTACTGTTGAACAAAGCGGTGTCTCATTCCAACACTCACACAGCTTTCTCTGTGCCTCCTTGTCTGCTTACTTCCTTATTTCCTTCGATGCCTATCTTATATCAATGTATAGCCTATGCTAGCGTCCAGCTCACCGCTAATAAGAGCCTATATTGTAAGTGTAAAATGTGATGTGGCTGTAGTGTATGGTGGTCTGCCTGTACTCCACTACATGTGCAATTAAAATGTTAACTAGAAAAATGAGAATAGCTTGTGGGCATAAATAAATAAATCACAGATCTCACTTTTACCAACATCTGTTTGCCTCTCAAGTACTCAAGTATTGTAGCCTCCCTGGACCCAGTGCAGTTTGCCTATCGCCATCAGGCTGGAGTCAATGATGCCATCATAGGGCCTACCTCGTCCTCACCTGGACAAAGCAAGCAGCAGAACAATGTTCTTTAATTTCTCCAGTGCCTTTGCACCATCCAACCTGTCTAGGTGGGAGACCTGGTGGTGGACCTCTTTGTGGTGTGGTGTGGGGATAACCATCTGCAATTGAATGTCACCAAGACCTAGGAGATGGTTAGGGACTTAAGGAGATCAAACACCATCTCCATATTTGGATAGGATGTGGAAGTGCATGGAGGAGGGCTATACCATGGAGTCTACACCTCAACAACAGACTGGACTGGAAATGCAACACAGAGGCTGTCTACAGGAAGGGACAAGGCTTCTTCAGGTCCCCAGGTCCTTTAATGGGTGCAGCAAAATGTATGTTTTTTATTAGTCTGTTGTGGCCAGTATTCTTCACCACTTTTGTCTACTTGTGGTTCCTAGAGTCTACAGAAGTAAGCATAAGCATAAACTTTATTGCTAAGTATTATCAAAAATGCAAGGAATTTGACTCCAGCCCAATGGCCCCTGATTTGCACAATAATGTAAAAACAGAATAAAACCAAAACCACAAGTAAAAAAAACAAAGACAAAAATGTACACATATGTATATACACACAAATATATATAAATAAAAAGAGCTACTGTAGCTGATGTATTGTATGTCTGTAAAATGGGAGGCAGAGCCTTTAGCTATCAAGCTCCTCTCCTGTGGAACCAACTCCCAGTCTCAGTTCAGGAGGCAAACACCCTCTCTACCTTTAAGAGTAGACTTTAATACTTTCCTTTTTGATAAAGCTTATAGTTAGGGCTGGATCAGGTGACCCTGAGCCTTCCCTTACTTACGCTGTGATAGTTATGCTGATGCTCTGAGTTCTTCTCCTCCCCTTTTCTCTCCATGCATCTATTTGCCAATATGGACAACGAACACAGGTGCATCTTATTGATGGCATTTTGAATGCACAGAGATACTGTGACGAGATCCTGAGGTGGATGGATTATCTCGGCAAAGGAGAAGTGCTCACTAACACAGATTTAAACAGATTTGTGAACAATATTTGAGAGAAATAGGCCTTTTGTGTACATTGAACAAGTTGTAGATCTTTGAGTTCAGCTCATGAAAAATGGGGGCAAACACAAAAGTGTTGCGTTTATTTAATTTTGTTTAGTATAATAATAATAGTAAAGTCTAGACCTTACTTTGTAAAGTGTCCTGAGATTACTTTTCTTTTGATTATATACTGCATAAGATGAAATAGTTTAACATGTTTTTATATGAATACTTTTAATTGATGTGTTCTTGTTTTTCTCTTCACAGTCTAACTGTGACAATTCATTTACTGTGGCCTTAATTAGGTGTTATTACACCGGTGGGGACAACATAACCAGACTCCAGATTTTAATGAAAAATATTACAAAGAAACTTTTTTATGAGACATCATCATGTTTCAACTATTTGTGTGTTTAATTTAACATGGGCACAATACATACACCTTGTGTAGCCTCTGATTCAGAAACATTTTATGTCTTTGAGGGAGTAGAAAATACAGTGTTGGCGTTGTATGTCTTAATGTATAGGCTACTGTGACTTTAAAGGGGTGTTGGTTCACTGAGAGGTGGCAGATAGGTTTAATTTCATCGCAAAGAACGCATCGTACATCTCGGAACCTCTCTGCCTTGTAACCGGTGTCGTCCACATTACTGTCAAGACCTTTTCTTTAAAAAAGCTTGTACGTGTCACTCACTTCATCCTGCGTGGAGCGATGGGAGGTACGGCCGATGTTATTATTTTGCTGTCGTGAGCCGACACAGATCGGATCTGCATATTTATTATGTTTTCTCCTGTAACAGAGGCCGAGACGCGCCAGAAATTGCTGCGTAATGTGAAAAAAGAGGTTCGTGGCGTTTTATTTCTTGGCCATCACAGTTTATGTTCACGGCACTGAGTGGCAGTGTGCTTGTGTGTGCATGATTGGGGAGGAGGTTAATGTGTGTGTGCGTGTGCGTGTGCCTTAGCCATGGTCTTGTTTATGATAAAGTCGACCTTTGATTCCAGGAGTGGGTGCAGCTTGGCTTCCAGCTGATTGTATACCGCTCTGTGTTTGATGATGACAGTGATGACGATAATACTGATTGTGATTTTATGTCAGAGAAAAACTACACCTTTAAGAAGCCACTTACAGATGCAATCCTGGCTATTCATATCCTGGAATAGTCTTTCTATCTGTCTCTCAGAAGAAATCATGGTTAAACTGGCATTTCTATAACACACACAAAGCTTATCATTCAAAACTTAAAGGTGTGACCTTGGCGTCTTAGTATGTGCTATAGGACCCATGCAAAAAGTGCAACCCAAGCTGGGTTGTGTATTACTGAATTATGAGCCCTTTGGTTATTAATCTACATAGAAATGAACACCGCGGACCCTTCCATTGACTCCGTGACTCCTTGGGGAGAGAAAACTGGTTCTCCATTTATTAATTGCCGAGAAAGCTGGGCACTTCCAGGCTTATCATATTCCTGCTCCCCCTCACCTGTGACTCATTGCCTCTCAAACATCCATAACTCTGGTACTAGATCTTGCAGGAGGTGCTTACATGTGACATTTAGATTTAAACCTAGGACCGAAATAACACATTTTAGCATTTTAAATATAGCTCAAGTTGATATACAGCAAACGTCTATTTATTACAAAGCAGACATGTCAGGTTGTTTATCCATATAAAGGATAGAGGCAAACAAATTTGTGCCTTTCTCTTTCACATAGCTGCACTAATGAACCAGTCAGAGCTGAATTGTGAGAAGAAATCTTTGGGGTTTTAGTAACATACAACAGAGTTCCAATGCTGTCTTTTAAATAAGACATTAGTTTCTCACCTCCTTATATGGAAGGACTGTGCAGTATACTATCAGTCTGTGTGTATACAGCAGAGCATCACACCAGATTCAGTACATTTTAAAAATAAATATTGCACAGCTTGTCAACATAAATACATGGTTTGTCAAACATGACCTTTTACAGATTGTTAGGGTTCACAAGTAAATTTGCTCATGAACAAGTGACTAAATGCACTGATCCAATAAGCATTGTTTGTTTCAGTAAAATGTCAACCCCAAAAGTTTGATTCATTAATGTGTTCTTGTATTTTCACCTGAAGATAATGACAGGATTGACATCAGATTAAAAGTTAAAGGCTAACGTTTTTAAAGTGAAATGAGGAACAAATCAGTCTTGTCTTCCTTAATAAGGAGGCCCACCACCAATTTTACTGATTATTTATATGTTAAGATCAGTTTAACAGCCATGGGGAGTATTAGCTGTATAATCAATACAACAGTTATATAATGCCTTCTGTGGGTCTGGAGGAACTTTATCATATCTGAGAAAACAGCACAGGATTTTCCTCAGATTCAGCTCAGAGACTTTTATTATAACATGGTATTAAGATGTGGGTATTTACCTGGTGGGGAGGCTCTTACATTGAGGCACTGCCTAGTTTCATTATGAGAAGTGCAGAATGCAATGTTTTTGAGTTTGACACTAAAAGTCAGGATATTTTGATCTCTGCTCCTTTGATTGTGACCATTGTTTAAAATCTGTTTCGTGCAAGCTTTGCAACTTTATGGAAGTGCAATAAAAAATAAAAAAAAATCAGACATTCTCCAAAGATCATTCCTGCCATAGGTGTCAAGAACCATATTCCTCAGGAACATCTAGAAAAAGTATAACCACAGGTGAGAACTGAGACTCACAGATCAACAGATCAACTGAGCTGAGGCCGGGATGTTAGAAATTTTGATTATGCTGCTGCTTGTGCATAAAAAAGGATCAAAAGAAGAATTTTGAACTCATGGTCACAGTAGCCAGTGCAGTTTTACCGAGGACACTATGTCCACACTCACATTAGGACCCTGTCATATTATTCTATTGGCAGTATGTGTGTTCACATGTACATTATGCTATAAGCTATGTTTGGAAGTATGTCTGCTCTTCATAGATGAGGTAGGGACATAAATAAACTACTTAGAGTTGGTCTGTACTGTATGTCATCTTCATCAGTGTCTTGTGTGATAACCTCTTGCAACATATTCCCCCATTGCTTATTTCTTTGCTTTTTGTTTGGGCTCTTAACTCTGACAGACAGACTACGTCTCATCTAACCATGTACCTTTCTCTCTTAGGTGAAACAAATTATGGAGGAGGCAGTAACAAGGAAATTTGTGCATGCAGACAGCAGCCACATTATATCCTTCTGTGGTAAATGTCCTGTACTAAACCTACTGTGATTGCATTGCTGACTGATCCATCTTTCTTGGACAGGACAAGTTAAGAGTTCAGGGTACATGCTCAAGGCCTTTTCCATCATGTTAACTTAACCATAGTTATCATTTGCTAGACATGAGAGAGAGAGACTTGACAAAGTAAAGAAGAATGATAATTTTGCTGCATAATTTTCTTTTATGCACTATAGAAAAATGCTGAAGCATTTTGCATCTAATTTCAGACATTATACTCCAGAACATGTTGTATTAAATAGTATCAGTCACTGTATTGGTTACAACCTCATTTACATGTCTATCCATCCATCTATTCATTTTCTGCCAGTTATCTGAATTTGGTAGCTGTGGCAACAGGCTAAGCAATCCATCATCTGTAAAGAACAGAGAAACAATTTTAAGGTCCCCAAACTGAACACTCTCCTGCCCATGAAAATCACGACTGGTGATCAGGGACGACCCTGGCGATGGCCAGCATCCACTGGAAGCATTGTTGATTGCCTACAATGTACTGTACTATAAAATACTAGTCAAAGGTTTTGACACACTTTCCTGTTCAGTTCACTGGGAAAGTGTGTCCAAACTTTCCACTGGTAGTGTAAAGCCTAACAAGTTATTTTTATAATGCCATTAGTCATGTCTATTTTATTTATTAAGGTAGATGGATGCAAATGTATCAATGTAAACTAACACCCTTCAAAGGTGTTGATACTAACAAGAAGTAAGGCGTGTGTAATTTGCATCTCTCATATCCTAGCAACAGTAGACACTGTTGCCAGATTTCAGTCTATTTCTACTTGTGCCTGCCTTTCACCTGTTTTTATATAAAAATATAAAATATATTGTACTAAAAACAAAACTCTAGGGCAAATAAAAGCATCCCTCCTCAGGGAGTCAAAAAAAAAATCTAAACCAAATATTAACTAATACTCTGTGTGCTTGTGTGCGTGTTTGTAGCTGTGGTGGAGGCCTGTGTGCTTCATGGACTGAAGCGTCGTATTGCAGGCCTGCTATGCAGTAACAAGGTTGCAGCACTCTTTATGAAGGTGGCAAAAAGCTTTTCACCTGCTGAGGACCTCTGCCGCAAGGTCCAAGAGTTGGAGCAGCTTATGGAAAGCAGGTGAAATGTTGACTTGTACCTGTAAGAGGCCGGTAACCTAAAATTAATGTATGCATTTTTCTTCTTTATCATTTTCCCTTTAGTTTATCCTTCTAAGTGCTTTATTGCACTATGATACCTTGCTATCCTATATTTCTGTTCAGTTCTAACAGCTTATACAGACATCTCATCTGTCAGGTTCTTTTCTGTTTTTCAGCAAACAGAACAATACTTCACTGACCAATGAACGCAGCCGGCAATCTAAGTTGGCCAACCTCCCTCCACAAGCACTGAAACACCTGTGGATCCGAACTGCACTGATGGAGAAGCTCCTGGACAAGATTGTCCTGTACTTGGTAGAGAACAGCAGGTATTGCTATACAGTATTCAATCTAATTATTATCTACTGCCTATAGAAAATGATCTCTCTCTTTCAATGTTATCATTTTGCTTTAAGCATTTCCTGTAAGAATAGATTCCACATATCAACCTTCTCTGCAAAAGATTTTAGTTTTTCCAAATGTTCTCCTCGTGCGAACACAGCATGTCAACATCCCATATTATGTGATTATTTTACAGGTCTCCTCAATAGCCATGATATGCAAACAGGAAGATGGGTATAATTTTCAAGTCCTAAGCACATTGAGAGCCGATGTACCAGAGTCAAATTCCTCATGTGTCCGACACACCTGGCCTATAAAGCAGATTCTGATTCTGATTCTGATTTTAAAATGGTATAAAATTTCTCAATATTATTTACTGCAGTTCCTACTATGAGAAAGAAGCCATGCTGATGGATCCCGTCGATGGACCAATTCTTGCATCTCTATTGGGTATATATAAGTGTCACTAATTTGCATATGACCACATTAGAATAGCTATATCCTTTTTGTTTAAACCTTTTAACTTTCAGTTTATATAAGTAATGATACCGAGCTTGGAAATATCTGTATAACTTTAAACCAATTAACCTTGATTTACAGTTGGCCCTTGTGCTTTGGAGTACACCAAAGTTAAGACTGCAGATCATTTCTGGACAGATCCCTCTGCAGATGAGCTCGTACAGCGACATCGCATCCACAGCCTTCACTGCCGACAGGATTCTCCCTCTAGACGGCCTGCCCTGGTTAGTTAATCAAGGAATTTGTTTTTTGGTAAAATAACCAGCAACCAACTGTATGTCAGATGCATAATACTTCTCAGATTTTCTTGTATCAGATCCAAAAGAGACAGTCCAGCGGTAGCATGGAGGATCGCCCTCTCATGTGGGTGAGAGACTATGTTGAATCACTCCACCAAAACTCCAGGGCCACACTTCTGTTTGGCAAGAACAATGTCCTGGTGCAGCCGGTATGCGTTTTCTTTCTTTCTTTCTAAATACAATAATAGTATGGAGAGGGAATATTAAGAGAGGCTTTTTTTTAACCTTTTAAGGAACTGGATATATCTGTTAATTGATTTATACTCACCTTATCTAGGCAGTATTACAGTCAGACATGTGATTAGAAAGCTCTTGTGTTGCAGAGAGATGACATGGAGGCCATCCCAGGCTACCTTTCTCTACATCAAACTGCAGATCTCATGACACTGAAATGGACACCCAATCAGCTGATGAATGGTAATGTGGGGGAGCTAGATTCTGAGAAGAGGTGAGTTAGATAAAGCCCAATCCGATAAGAATGTAATCATATTTTTACACAGCTGACTCAGTGGCTCCCATTCACTGATCTTTCTTTCAGTGTTTATTGGGATTATGCTATGACTATTCGTTTGGAGGAGATTGTGTATCTCCACTGTCATCAACAAGGTACAGTAATGACCTCTTATAGGGTTTTAAATATTCATAGTAAGAGTTTAAAAAGTGATTTATCTTGTTACCATTGTGTGAATTCTTCCAGTGAACAGTGGTGGGACAGTAGTTTTGGTGAGCCAGGATGGGATTCAGAGACCTCCTCTACATTTCCCCAAAGGAGGCCACCTCCTCCAGTTTCTTACCTGCCTGGAAACTGGCCTGTTACCTCACGGACAGCTGGACCCACCACTGTGGAATCAGAGAGGAAAGGTCAGCATGAACAGAGAATAATAAAATACTTCCTTAACTTTTTTTAGTTTTTGTAACTGATGCTGCATTTGTCTTCAGCTACTGTATAATCTGTTGTAGTCATTCTTCAACTTTATATAGTTAGTTATACTTGCCTAAGATGCAATTGTCTCTACATTTTCAGGGAAAGGTTTTCCCCAAACTGCGGAGGAGAAGTCCTCATGGCTCATGTGATTCCGTATCAGATAAGGAAGATGATGAGGCAACCGATTATGTGTTTCGGATCCTCTTTCCTGGCAATCAGATGGAGTTTAGTGAGTGTCTTTAATCTTGCTGCTCTGCCTCCCTGAGTTAATCTAATGATGAATCATCAGAGATTACATTACAATCTTAGTACTGATCATGCTTTATTTAGATGTCTGTTTTCCTTTAGGCATATATTCTATGTAAATCTCGCTACTTAATTTCTCTCTGCTGTTAAACTGGTAGTTCTTAGCAGTTCCTGCCTATTTAGTGCCTTTGTGTTCATTTAACAGTGTAACCCACTCAACAATCAGGAAACTGTATATAGACCTAAGGTCATTTATCTGCCACATCCTGAGCTCCATCCTCTCACTTGGTTTGTGTGTGTGTGTGTGTGTGTGTTTTAGTTACCTTATTGTTTGTAGACATGTATTTTTATATCCAATTATGTTGGAATATCATCTTGTTTATTTGCTTATATGCTGATAGTAGCAATGGTAATGATAAGCATTATGATGCTGTGCAGTGGCTCTAGAGCTGATGGACCAGGGTGTGAACATATGGCAACCGACCCCCAGAAAGTCTTCCTGCTCCTCCTGCTCGCAAAATGGCTCTTCTGATGGCTCTCTGTCAAACGGCTGTAATCAAGAAAGGTGAGTATTTCCTATGGGCAGGCTCAAACCTATATCAAGAACACTGCATGTGACTTAATTTTTGTACTCTACCAGGGCTCCCCTGAAGCTCCTGTGTGACACTATGAAGTACCAGATAATCTCCCGTGCTTTCTATGGATGTGAGTATAAGATGAACTATGATGAATTTGGGAATAATTTCATTCAAAGTGATTGTTCTTGTTAATACGAACACTTTCATCTTTCTCCTCCAGGGCTCGCATACTGCCGTCATCTGTCCACAGTTCGTACTCACCTTTCTGCGCTTGTCAACACCACTATAGTTGACCCTGATGTGCCCAGTGATGCCCAGGGAGGTCTCTCTGTTGAGGTCTGGGGCAGGTTCCTCCAGGACAACTCTGTAAGATTCAAACCTGAACAACAATCCATAAAATAAAAATTTTGCTTTTAATGCATTGCAGTATTGAATGGATTTTATTTAGTGTGTGATTTCAGTGTGAGTCAATAAAAAACCTTTTCTTGTTTAGACCTATGAGGAAAAGGAGATACATAGACTTGTGTATTTTGGTGGGGTGGCTCCTTCTCTACGCAAAGAGGTCTGGCCCTTCCTGCTGGGTCACTACCAGTTCAGCATGACTGAGAGGTCCAGGCTGGAGGTATTTCTATGTGTTGACAGCCTGTACAATACACATATACACCATGAGGTATGTTATAGTATTTGTGTACACAGAGTTTCTGTTTCAGATTGATGAACAGATGCGGACCATGTATGAGCAGACTATGAAGGACTGGCAGGGTTGTGAGACCATTGTCCGTCAGAGAGAGAGAGAAAAACACGCCGAGGCCCTCGCCAGATGTTTGTCTGGAGCCAGTGTGGAAAGAGGACCAGTGCAGCGAGACTCCACCATCAGTACAGATGCAAGTTTGACATTTTAGCATAAAAATGTGTTCTATTATGTAACATTATCTCAATAGACAAATCATAAATGAGAACTTTTTTATAGTATTAAGAAGGAGTTTCTAAACAACTTGCCTGACAGTTCTGCTTTATGTCTCTTGTGTGACAATGCTTTTCCTTACTCCAGTCTTCTCTAAGTAGCAGCTCAGATCACCAGAATGCCCATTCACAAAGTGATTCCAGCAGTAGCATACAGGTAGTTTCTCATAAGCACAGACATCACAACAACAGCAGTTATTGTATCACTAATAATAGACCATTTTTGCATGTTTTAGCCCAGTTATTACTACTCATTTGTAATTAACAAGTTCCATTGTCCAAAGTATACTATAATTGTTTAGAATGGCAGCCATTGGTTTCCATTCAATTCAAAACACACTTAAAATCAGGCCACAGAAATGTGCTTGGAATTGGCAGATAGGTGGACAAAGTGATATTGACCCAATTAAAGAACTAGATGAGAAGTCAGATGATCAGTGGAATTATTACACTTGATCCTGCAGGGGACATGAATGTCTGTACTTAACTTCACTGCAGTACATCCAGCAGGTGATGTTGAAATATTTCTCAACATGCATTTATTTCAGTGGAATCCATCCAGTAGTGAAGATCTTTCAGGCAGTCAGCTTACTGTACTGTATGCTTTGGAATTTTCTATATAATGTAAAGTATATTTGATTTGTAGCTAATGGACTAACACATACAAAAAACAGTGTAAGCAACATTACATCAGCTAACCGGATCCAAAATGTATTGCATGTCTACCACTTTTCATTTGTTGGCCAGGTATTTGGATCGGTTGAGGCAGTTGATCAGCCTGAGCTCAGTCCTGAGGAAGCACGGCATAGCAGAGCAGTGAAAGACAACCCAAATGACATCACAGCCTCTCCACAACTTCCGTCCCACAATTCCCCCTCTCCAGATCTGTCAAATCAACATCCCCGTTCAGAAAGCAGCTCTCTTGTAATAGAGACAACTGTTGAATCAACTACAGAAGTCTTGAATGAGATCATTACAACTGAATCACAGCTAGGAGGGGACACTGTAAAGGACCCAGTAGATGAGGACAAGGTTTCAGAAACAGAAAAGATGGAGAGAGCTCCTGAAAGTAAGTTAGCTGAGGACGCTGGTATCAGTAAGTCAAAAGAGACATCTGCAGCTGAGGAAAAACACGAAGAAGAAAAAAATAAAACTACACACGGGCCATCTAAAGGTTCAAAAGCAGGAGACACAAATATAAATGTGAAATCTCCTCCAGAGAACACTAATGTTCTAAAGCTAGAAACTGAGATTCATAATGAATATTTCCAAGCACCTCTGCTTGGTCAGACTTTAACTCTTCAAGCACAAAAGAGCAAAGATCTGCAAGTGGAGCCATTATATCCACCTACAGCAGAAAAGAATCCAAATCCACCAACCCAAAAAAAGCCAGAGATTTCTGAAGAAATACCTTCACTAATGATCAAGACCTGTGCCACAGACTCAGAAAGAAAGGATGCTGAAGCAACAGTTTGTGATTTGGCTGAAGCTAAAAAGGACAAAGCTGCAGAAATTCCATTTGAGAAGCCTGGTTCCAATTCGCCTGTCAGACAGGTACTGAATGCTCTTCAGTCAGCATCAAGGGGAAGCCTTTCATTATCGTCCCACTGTTGGCAGTCACCAGACACAGCTGATTCAGATGACTCTCCTTCTGCCCTGGAAATGGAGGATATTCCTGCAGGGATAACATGTGTGACCTTTGAGGATATTAAGGTCAGGCCTTTGATAGGCCTCGCTGCACCACCTAACTCACTGGCACAAAGAGAGAAAATGACATCTGAGGGCCTTGCTCTTGATCTCCATCTGGACACAGCATGTAACAGCAGTCCTGAGGGCACTGACCTGGGTCTTTCTGAAGAGGAGTTTGAGATGGAGAATGTGCTTGCTGAACCAGAGCCTGCAGAGGTGGGAGGAGACACCAAACATGAGGAATCCTCAGAAGAACAACCCTATTCTGTAAGTGATACACATGAAGGGCATAGTCCTCCCTTTAATCCTAGACATGTGATAACAAAATTCACTTTTATTTTTGTAGCAAGAAACACTGGACATGTACCTAATCAACTTACATCGCATTGACAAAGATGTGAGGCGCTGTGACAGAACATACTGGTACTTCACTCCTGAAAACCTAGAGAAGCTGCGTAACATTATGTGCAGGTAAATATGCCACCATGCTTAATATCTCAGAGGATTTTCTCAAAACAAACAAACAAAAAAAAAACCCTGAACAATCTTGCTATCTTTGTAGTTATGTGTGGCAGCATCTGGATACAGGTTACGTCCAGGGCATGTGTGATCTGCTGGCTCCCCTGCTAGTTATTCTGGATGATGGTTAGTTTTAAGTGCAATCACTATCAATATCAACTCTGCAAAAGTGCACATAAATGGTTTAATGAATGACATGTTAAAGGTGTATGTGTGCTTTCCAGAGGTCATGGCATTTAGCTGCTTCACTGAACTGATGAAGAGAATGAACCAGAATTTTCCTCATGGAGGTGCCATGGACTCTCACTTTGCTAATATGCGTTCTCTTATCCAGGTATATATGTGCAAAGGCACAAGCATGCATGCATACTCAGTCGCGCTGAAGGGTAATGATGATATTTTGTTTTAATTCTTATAGATCCTGGACTCTGAGCTGTTTGAGCTGATGCAGCAGAATGGAGACTACACCCACTTCTACTTCTGTTATCGTTGGTTTCTACTAGACTTCAAAAGAGGTGCTGGAAAATGCATGCAACATAATATTTCCTTGAATTTCCCATTAAAGTAAACCTAGAAATTTGCCATAACATTACACAGAATGTAATCTGATTTAGTATTGGTTTTCTGACCAGAAATGGTGTATGATGACGTGTTCTCGGTGTGGGAAACCATCTGGGCCGCCAAGTGCATCTCCTCTGAGCATTTTGTGCTGTTCTTTGCTCTGGCACTTGTGGAGATGTATAGAGATATCATTCTAGAAAATAACATGGACTTCACAGACATCATCAAGTTCTTCAACGGTAAGGCAACATAAGATATACACAGTGGAATTAGTGTTGGAAAGCAAACTATACTTACCAGAGCTTATACATAATTACAGCAGATCAATATAGAATTTCTTTCTTTCTTTAATATAAAATTTTAATAATCAGTTGATAAAAAATAAACCATTTGGTTAAGATGATATTTCAGTTCTAATAATGTAGAGCCATTTCAAAATATATATAAAATTTTAAATAAAAGGAAATAAAAATTTTAAAACCATTTTTTTTAGATGAGTTAATTTACCCACTATTACTGGAAAGGTAATACTTAAATATCAGTTTCATTTTTTTTATTTATCTCTTCTAAATCACAGTGATTTTCAAATTCTCTTTTCAGAAATGGCAGAGCGACACAACGTCCCCCAGGTCTTGATGATGGCTCGTGACTTGGTGCACAAAGTGCAGACTCTCATAGAAAACAAGTGATGCACAATGCTGCTGTTTAACTTCAATAACTCTTTGTGTGAAATTGGTTCAAGATTACTGACACAACCACATAATAGCCATGTATCCAAGAGGAAAGGAATCAGTGTTCATGAAATGCAGTGATTGGTAAGGACTGAAAGTGCTCATTATTCTATGATAGGTGTATAGCAGTTTATCTCCACTGCTTTCAATCTTTGAGAGATGCTCGGTATCGCCAGTACATTTATTTTTAAAGTGTTACTGTTCATCCTGTGAATGTACCCTTGTTGAATCTGCTTCAGGATGTTATTTATTTTGCTTTAAAACCATTGCTATTTTTTTCAGGGATAGAACAACCAAATTCTCCACTGTATTATTCTTCATGATTACTTTTGTTGTTTTACCTTTCATAGTTATACATCTTGTGAAACACTGGACAATAGTTTAGGTATTATTATTTTGTTGAAATTGTAGCTGCCAAAGTTTAACTTCTTGTGATACACTTGAATATATTTTAGTAAACAATATCTGGCATTACTGGATGATTTGATTTTGTAAACATTAGCAGTACTACTGACCAAGCTGTGGTTGGTCAGTGATATGTCGTGTCCAAGTAGCATGTGTGGTCACCGGTTTGCTTCTCATCAGCCATTTTGAGGACCACTCCTTGGTCTCTCTGAAGCTTGATGGCTCTCTTCCTGTGTTTGCCTCTGATGCAGACCGGACCTGTAAATGCTACACAGTAAAGCATGATTGCACATATTTGCATATACAGCGTTCCTATTTCCTCTGGTTCCCAACCAAGTTATTATACTGTGCGATCCTTCTATCACTGACCCCCTTTGTGCATTGATTAAGGTGTAATTCAATCTGCTTCATGCTTTGCTCCCTTTCCTATATTTTTATGCTTCTGTGGCATCAACTCAATCAGACCATTAATGCAGTATGTTGTTCTTTCCATTGACTGACACAGTGCTGCTGAGGCTGAAACATTCAGCTGTTGGTTCCCATGACATCAAGACAGCACAGTGCTAACAGATTTTGTCTCCTTGCAGCACTGTGAGTGCTGCTGTGATGGTTAATTTTTAGCTTATGGTCTGCAATGAGAGCATCATGCCTGAAGAGTTTCATAGTGTTTGCCTTTGTCTTGCACTGCTGATCTTGGTTGCTTTGTATTTAACCCATTCTGGTCAATATACACCAAAACACTCACAATAATTTTTGATATTTCCTAGACTAACTGTGCATGTTTCTTCACAGTTACTCTACGTTCATACCTGTTGAAAATGAACTCTGTTTGCCAGTCACTTAACCTTTCACTTTAGGCTGATACCTGTATGACATTCACAGGTTATTTACACTTGAGTCATTTCTCATCTCCTGTAATGCTACTTCATACCCAGCAAGCACCCTCCGCCTTGATGAACTTACCTCTATTTACCTCACGTTATACTCTGCCGGCTCAATAGCATCTGATGCCCTCCATTACCTTGGAGAGCACCAGACCGTACTTCTTCCCATGACTAACTTGAGTGAACAACTTAAGTGCACACTCAAAAGTTTCTCTGTTATCTGTACCATGTTGCTCAGACTGTCATAACCTCAGCTAATGTATCTAAAAATGTATCTTGTTGAAGTCCTCATCAGGTTTTCACAGTCTTGTAAGCACCAGAAGTATTACGTTTAAAGGGATCATTCAGTGATTATGTAGCCATGGATATAATCTGCTTTATATGTGTAAATTTTGAGATGTGCACCACAGAATCTTCTGCCTGCAACCTAATCCAGTGGAGGTGAATGGAATTTCAAGTGTTGAAAAGTTATTCTGATTATCCTTAAATGATTATTCTTATCCTTATTTAATGTCAGTGTGTCTTTCCAGAAACAAATGGCATGGACTTTGATGTTAGCATTTATACTGCATCTTTTTGGTAATCCCAATGAAATTCCAGTAAAGTAGAACTGATCAGTTTGGCAGACATTTCAGAGATGGGTGTTTCAAAATCTGAGCAGATAAAAACTATATACATGGATAGATACCAACAAAAATAAGTCAAAAAATGTTTATTGGTGCCGCTCACAGTTGCGAAACAGCCCAAGCACACCTGTATTTGATTTACTGTGGCTTAAATTTTAGTTTTGTCTCCATATACAGTAATTCTCACAACATACCTGAATATTGCTGTTTCTGTGTTGCTGTTTGTTGTCAGAAGATGCACTGTATACAAAATTTAAAAGAATCTGATTTACTGTACACACACACACTAAGCTAAGCTAAGCTAGTATATATTTATTAAATGCAATACAATGTCAGTAGATGGGCTTTATCTGATTAAATGGAACAGAAAAAATGTCATTGGAAATATATTTTTATTTTTTTCTGTCTCTTCTCAAATTGTCACCTGGTATAATTTATTGTGAATTAAAAATATTATATTTTGATTTCCATGTGCCATGTGTATATTTCCAGAAATGTTAACACTTGAGTTTATAAGTTAAAAATAGTTACACACTCATCTTCAGACAATCTCAAAGTGCAATATAAGAAAAGATGTTGTATCTATACTGTAAATTAACAAGTTAAAAAGGCACTAAGTCAACTACATTGTTTCTTTGCTCCCTATAACACAATTTTGAAAGAGCAGATCGTTTCTGTACTTAGTACTGCTGCATTGTTTGCCTGGCCTTCACAGGATTGGCTCAGTTTCTTCAAGTGTATCTAAAAACAGCACACATTACCGAATTACATCATTTTTGGTTGTGACAATTAATCAACATGCACATTTTCCAGTGTTCCTCCAATACATAAGTCCATATTTATCCTCCACAGCTCAACAAATTTGATAACTTCATACTAGCTTTGGCTGGACTTGTTCATGATACATATGGAGACATTAGTGTTAAGAATCTGAAAACTGATGGACCCAATTCAGAGCATCACCACCCACTGGAAAAATCAGCAGCACGTAACACTTCATTTCACAGCCTTGAGAATAAAACAGGTTGTACACCCTACATGAGACAATACATAGTCTCATTATAAAATTAAAAGATATAATAAACTTGGGTACCCCAAACAGTGTAGCATAAGACATTTAACAGTTAACTAATGTCAATTTCTGCTTCAACCTTTTATAAGTTTGCTGTGACAACTATAGTAATAATCTACTGAAAACAAGCTTTAAGACAAGGAATGAGCACAGTAAAAGTTTGCATTTTATTGGTAAAGGAAAAAAACATTTGAAATACATACAAATTATATTCCACCTTGGTCAGAGGCCACACAATTAAAAATATTCTGAAAGGTGAGACAACAGTCAATGTGTAACGACTTAAAAATGCTCACTAATTTCATGTGGATAAGCTTCACATTCCTAGATTGGCATTTATAGATTGGCATTTATACTTAAAGCTACAGAAATGGGACACACAAAAAGAACATTTTTCCAGAGTTTAAGAAGCGGTATAACCTTTCACCTGACATTTGCAGACTTATGTAATTTTGTTGTGGACAAGAAAACATTATGTCCTTGCATGGGTTCCTGTCAAAGTTTGACATGAATAAAAGTAACCATACAATGAGAATATACCCGCTAATGGGGGTGTTTTAGATAACACATATGAGCATTTCGAAAACAAAGACCCTAAGGTTGTAGGAAGGAGCAGGGTGTTCAGGGGATCTGACCATGGAATGTATGTGTAAAAAAAAAAAATAATAAAAAAAAAATAAAAAAAAAATTTTAAATGGTACATCCTACAAAGAGGCCTGGGGTAAAAAAACAAACAAACAAACAAAAAAAAAAGTAAAATTAGAAAACATTTCCCCACTTCATCTATAAATGATGGGCCTTTCTACCGATAATGACGCGGAGGTGGGCTGTGGTGCTGTGGAGGGTGCCGCCTGGGGGGTGGACTATGGCGTGACATAGCAAAGCGAGGAGGTGATTGGTAGCGTGGAGGGGGAGATCCTCTGTTACGGTAGGGTGGTGAATAGCGGCCTCTAGATCTGGAGCGGGAACGTGACCGACCCCAGTTGGGAGTGCCCCTCTCCTCAAAGACACGGATGTAAGCAGTCTCACCCTACAAAAGGAGAACAGATGACATTTGTTGCTTTAACTTTTTAAAGGGTAAAGGACAAATAAATCTCATCTTCGCTGACACTTACTTGATGTGAACGGAACTCAGTTCGATCCAGTCTACGCAATGCATATTCCATGTCCTCTCTACGAAGAAATTCCACTACACCCTCTCCGTCTCGCTGCACATCTGCAAAGCAAACATCCCCTGCCTCGCGCATATGATCCTTCAGATCCTGCCAGCTTCCAGATGGTGGCAACCCTGGCATAGAAATAAGACAAATGTGATGGGGACAGAAGTTACTTCCTCGCATGAATTCTTTTGCAATTTCTAACCTAAAATTATTGCAAGGACAAGTTTCACCTTCTGTACAAAGCTTAAAACCTTTGGGGTAGACTAAATAAACTTAGCAGGAAGCATCTGGACGTAGTTTTGGGTAGAAGACATTTCACACTTGAAGTAACACTGTTTATTTGCTTAGTCATTTTTATCAAGTCTGAGCTTAGCAGCAATAAAAATCTAAACTGCTTATTTTGTTATATTACACAGCCTTATGCTGGTTTACTGTTTACTTGCCCAGGTCTCTTTATTTTTATTCCTTTATTCCCATTATCTCATCTCAATGCGCATTCCTTTGTCTGTCTGCATTGTTTACTGCCTATTTATACTGCTTATTTTGCATCGTTTGCCCTGGTTGTTGCTTGTTAATACTGCTTATTACTTTTATCTTACACAGGTTTACCGTTTACTTGCCCCTTGCATGGGGATATGCACATACACATTGAGAGCCGATGTACCAGAGTCAAATTCCTCGTGTGCCCAACACACCTGGCCAATAAAACAGATTGAGATTCTAAAAGCTAGATGCAAACAGAGACATGGGAAGGGTGGGGTTTTTGCATGCTTCTCTTCATTGTAAATGTACATACAAGGGATGTTTTATTAAATATTCAGCATATAATTATAAGATCAGGATCTCAAAGTTATAAGATAGTAAGAAATAATTACAAGATCCTGTATTTTTTTCTTTGATGAATGCAATGCACTTCCATAGAACCCCACAGTGTTACACTTCCAGAAATCTACTCTAGTATGTCTGGTCAAGTCAGGCAACTCCAAAAACTTAAAACTTTAATGGAATGGTCTTACATAAGCAGTCCAATACTACAAGCTTGTATGAACATGAGATAAATGAAACATACAACAAATAATTATATAAAATGACAAAATTACACCTACCAGTCACTATAGTTGGTGTTTGGGATTATGCAGCCAACATGACCGGTTTCAGTTTAGGGTTTTTTCATGACTTAAGGAGCTGACTTGACCTCATCCAATTAGTCCCTTTGACCTCCAGTCCGCCATGAGAGAGAGAAACATATATGCCTACAACTCATGACGTCCTCTACTAGTCCACTTGTCCTTCAGTCCGCCATGAGAGAGAGAAACATATCTGCCTATGACTCACGACGTCCTCTACTAGTCCTCGTCCTTCAGTCCGCCACGAGAGACAGGGAAACATATCTGCCTACGAACTCCTTCCTACCAGTCCCCTTGACTTCCAGGCCACAGGGAAAGCGAGATAAATATTATCTGCCTATGACTCACAATACCCTCTACTAGTCCCTTTGTCCTCCAATTCGCCAGGAGAGAGACAGAAACATATCTGCCTATGGCTCTTATGTCCACCTTCCTATCAGTCCCCTTGACTTCCAGGTCGCAGTGAAAGAGATAAATATTAATTGGCTATCACTCATGACGTCCACCTACCAGTCACTATGACGCGGAATTCAGATCTTCGAGTTGGGGGTCCAAATCTTCCCCTAGGTCCTCCTCCTCCTCCTCCTACTCCTCCTGCTCCTCCTCCTCCACCACCTCCTCCCATAGGACCAAATTTTGCACCAGAAGATCGCGGATACTCTACACGCAGCTTGCAGTCTCCATATCCATATCCATTCCTTCCATACACAGCATCATCTGCATCCCTAAGAGAAGAGAGCAAAGAACTCCTTACCAAAGTATGCTTCATCACTAGTGGATAAAGACCTGGAAATGCCGTCTCCATCCATTCCCTGCTGGCAGTCACTGGAGATGCTATTACAAGGTGAATGTGATTCGACTTGGCAAAGACCTTCCCATAAACTCACCGTGGGTCTTCAAAGCGGACGAAGGCAAAAGGAATTGTGCCTCTATTGTTCTTCAGTTCAATTTCACGGATTTTTCCATATTTGAAGAAGAGATCCTCAATGTCTCTCTCCTGGACATCTGCGGGAAGATTCCCCACATAGATCCGGCCATCCGACATAGCGTTTGAGTGAGAGGCACTGCTGACACAGAATGAGGGCAACTGCAGACTTTAAGATCACTTCTTGTTCCACAAATAGTGTAGTGGTCCTTATCCTAATCCTAGTTCCAATCCAAAACTGTGTCCATCCACTTCCTTAAGTTAGACAAAAAGAAAACTTTAAACCAGGGATTCAGCCATGATAGTGGTAAAGGATGAGTTCAAGACATATGGCACAGGGCCTCGGATCCAAGCCTGAAAACTTTAAAACACAGTGTAAGAATGTACAACAACCTTAATAATTGATATTATACTACAAGAAGTCATGAGCATCATGTGGAAAATAACCTGACTACTTAAATACATTGTATCCTACGCCTATAGTATGTGTGTTAAGAAAAATACGTACAGATAACAAGCTTGTTATCAGTAATCAACAAACTGAAAAGGCATTTCATTAACATTCAATAAATTTTCCGTGCATGACGTTAAAATAGCATTTCTCCAGAATTCAAGACATTTCCGGGGCCTTCAATCCCGCGTATAAAACCGTTTGTGAAGCGACCAAACCTATTCTACCAGCTAGATATTGATAAGTCGCCTATAAATATGTATGTTGCCAGGCTGGGTGCAATAATAACCACACCTTGAAATGCCACGACTAACACATTCGTTGTAGTATTAACCTAATTCTAAAGAACGCAAGCAACGTTAGCTGTCAACCATTCACGTTAGCCAGCAGCTACCTAGCTAACATGAACTAGCGAGGATGCTAGCGGGAGCGTTATGTACAATGGGTTGCCAGCTTTCGAGTTTTAATACAATTGGCGAATATGCAACAGAAAATATGTATTTTAACCGAGTGGCTCAACTGTACATTTGTTGCCTGAAAGCGAAAATCAGCTTTAGACATGTTATATACTCCATGGATTACGATAAGTTACCATATCAGTCTCTTTGTTAATAATGTAAGGTCAGGTGGTCGAGCTAACCAGCGCCTGTTTCGAATAAAATGCACCAATATTTATCACACTGTGAGATACAGGGTATTAAACAGTGCATATTAAATGCATGCGCTAACAAACACGTGCTACTGCTATTACCTTTCACAAGTATAGGCTCCTTTTTATATATTTAATGCTACCGGTTGAAAAGCTATGCCGCTTCCGTGAAAGTTAGCAACGCTAGTAGCGAGCAGCTTTGTGTCTTCTTCTACGTCTTATTTCCGGCAGACAGCAATGAGTTTAATTCTTTGCTGCCCATTTCCGGAAACGAGGAAAACAGTCTCCAAACTACGTACAGTATATCCGCAACTCCTAATAATGCTTCGAGTTGGTTTTAACTCCCAGCTTAGCTTTATCTAAAACTGTTTTGAAATACATTAAATAGGACAGGTTGTTCAGCATGCTCTCCTCTCCTTGAGCTATCAAAACAGGTTTCTGTAGTTTGGCAAACGTCTCATTTAATCAGAGGATGCTTTTCTGACTGTCTCTTGCACAATTGTCCCCCAAGGACCTCCAGTAAAGGAAGTGGTGAAAGAAGTACTCGTATCCTTTACTTGCGTAAAAATAGCAATGCACAAGTGTAAAAATACTCTGTTACAAATACAGCATTCAAAATGTTGCTTAAGTAAAAGTACAAAAGTATCAGCATCAAAATTAACTTCAAGTACTAAAAGTAAAAGTACTTATTATGCAGAATGGTATAATATTGTATTGTATTATAATTACTCATTATGTACATCACATTTAATGTTGCAGCTGGCAAAGGGGGAGCTAGTTTTAACTAGCTTATATGCATTTAATTTGAATTACTGCTGGGCAGCTGGTTTTTTTTTTATTTTTATTTTTTTTTTACCATATAATTAATTCATGTATTAATCCGGTTCTGAAAGGTAACTAGCAACTAAATATAAAATCAATTTAGTGTAGTGTAAAGTACATTATTTGCATCTAAAATGTAGTGAAGTCAATGTATAAAGTAACAGAAAATGAAAATACTCAAGTATATTTTACCATGAAAGGATAACTATAAGATGTAACATTAATAAAGATGCTTTGGATTTGAAATACAAACTAATATCTGTCTGGGATCTTCTTATCTTGCTATCCATCCATCCATCCAGTTTCTATACCGCTGAGCCCCAAATGTGGTCACGGGGGGCTGGAGCCAATCCCAGCCAGCTGTGGGCGAGAGGCGGGGTACACCCAGGACAGGTTGCCAGTCCATCGCAGGTCTCTTGCTATCATTTTCTGGAGATTGATGTGGTGTGGTATGTGCTTCGATGACGACTGTATAAGTGTTGTGTATAGCATCTTCTCAGCGGGAGGGGAAGGCAGGCTACAGAGAGATAATTGTTAGGTTATTTCTTAGTTAGATAGATGTTCAGAGATTTGTTGTCTAGAAATGTTTAGTGGAGACAGGATGTCTAGCTTAGGCTGTTAACTGCTCAGTTTAAATTCATGTGCTTGCAGTGCAGACTGCATGTAGGCCAAGGTTGCAGGCAAAGAGCTGTTAGTATTAAGTGTAATGCTAATCTTAATATTTGTCTTAATGTGAAATGTCATGTCAAATTGTTCTAGATACACACCACAAAAACAACAGCCACACACCTTGACTTATCCTCATGTTTTGACTAACGTTATGGTCAGCTGCAAGCTGGCATATCAGGTGACGTCACGGTTTGACGCCCTGCGTAGTATGGGCTAGCCCAAAATGATTAAAATTATATAGGTTTGATGGTCCAGGGTCTTTCATCTTTCCAAGCTGCCTGCGCGCAGGTTGGTGGTGGGAGAGATCTGGACGTGTAATGTTAATTTTACCTGTGATCCTCTGAATAAACCAGCACAGTTATTTTTTATAAAATCTAAAGCGGTCTGCTTCGTCTCATTGTGAGTTCCTGGTTTAAAAGAGCCGGAAGAGGCTTCGTAGAGAAATAGAAGCTTATATACTCAGAGTTTGTTTTAAGAAAACCTGCTAAACCATGAGTTGAAGGGAAACATTTTAGTGCAGGAACAGAGATCACTGTAGCACATGGTTTACTTACCAAACCTGTTCCCAGGAACCCCTCCCAAGCTTCTTTTGGGTGTGTCAGGATGAGTTGTTGCACAACCAATTATATAATACTGTCTTGAGGTCATTAGTGGCCTACTATTCAGACTCTTTTGTGTTTGTGTGTGTGTATGTGTGCTAAAAAGTAAATGGGGTTTCCCTAACTAAGAAATTATATCATCAATAAAGGCAAATGTGCAGTAATACAACATAGACTGAGTGGTACAGTATAGCCCACAAAAACTGCATGGAAAGAGAAGAGCAAATGCTGTCATAATGCTGAGACAGGAACATTTCCCTGAATAATAAATTGTCATCATATAGGCTTACATTTTAAGGCTTAAATTTATAGGCTTAAATTTTGAATGACAGCAAAAATACTGGTAGTGAGGCTACTTAAAATTCTGGTGGAGACCCCAAACTATCAAAACCTAGGAAATGGCACATTCAAAACTGAATTTTAGGTAAATGTGTAGGCCTCTGGAATTATGGATAAAACATTTAAAATAGCCTGTTTTTATTTGAAGAAGCAGTTAAGCCATTAACAAAGTATGATATATTGGATCTGTACAAACATTTCCACTATAGTTTATAGGGAAAGGAAAGATGGATGGAAAAACATTAGATGGATCCAACACTTATTTCAGTAGTTGCGCAAAATGCTTTTTTTGTTATGTCATTCTTGCACATGTACAAATAGCATCTTTACATTTTAGTGTTATAATATATCAGGAGTCCTGCACTGAAAAGGAAATAGCACAGTCCTTTAAAAAAACAGATGCTGCTCTGCATAAAATATCATGCCATGACAATTTAGAGTCACCAATCAATCTAAGGTATATGTCTTTGGAGAGAACCTGCGCAGGAACCGGGAGAATATGCTCAGAAAGGCACCGGGTCGGCCTGGGCTCGAACCCGGACCCTGCTTACTGTGAGGCAACAGTGCTAATCACCATTCCGCTATGTCGCTCAGTCAATGATCACACGATGCACATATCACAGGCGCCGCCCCCAGAACAAGAAAACTGCGCAGCGCGCGCGCGCACACACATCACATCAACTGCGGGGAAGTGAGCACTCTAAGTGTTTTTTGTTTCATTCAGTCAAGAAAGGAGACCATGTCGAGCACCAGGTTTGGAGATGCACTTGTCCGGGCAAACTCGAGCAATGTCAGGAAAATATACACATCATGGGGAAGATGTCGAGCAACATTGCCATCCACTAAGATCAAGCAAGAAAAAGAACAGATTAATAGGCACGCCGTGGTGGAAGCTGTACCGGTTGAACTTATCAGCCAGACCAAGAGCTGCACAAAGTCACAGCTGAAGAAAATCCACATTGACTTCGACAATACCAAAGAAGCCTACAAAAGCAAGGGTAATATTGAACTGCTCCGAAGTCTGCTGGTACTTAAGCTTTGTACAATTGATGTCGTCGTTGAAAAGAACAAAGAGGTGAGTTGGTTATCTACGATTTCATGTGTTAAGAAAACGAGTGCTTTTCAAATTAATGAAACGGCCTAATAATTAAGTGAATGGTCAGTAAATAAAATTTAGCCTTATCATCTAATGGATTTCAAGGTGAGCTGTTAAATAAACAGCTGAGGTATAACTTCTCCTTTCTTTATCAGTTGATGGAGCTGAGTAAGAAGGTGCTTGGGAGGTGGATGTTTGAGAAGCTGATGAAGATGACCTTTTATGGCCAGTTTGTGGCAGGAGAAGACCACGAATCCATCAGACCCTTAATTAGGAAGAATCGGGCCTTTGGTGTGGGGGCAGTTTTGGACTATAGTGTTGAAGAGGACTTGTCACAAGAGGAGGCAGAGAAGAAGGAAATGGAGTAAGTAGTGATTACATGTGACTGAACAGAAGGACACTAAAAGATTAAGGTCTGTGGTCCTACTGTCTTATTATACTGTTACTCGTTGCAGCAGGGTAACCCGACCACGATGGAAGTGTAAAGAATATGCGGAGTGATTTCACATCAAAACATATGGCACTGATGTTTGAAATACAGGTTAAAAGTATGAGCAAACCATTTTTATTTAATTCTCTGGGAATATGAGTTTTTCCCCAGGCTGACAATATATGTTTTCTTTCTGCAAATCATCCTTTGGCTCCCTCATTTACACAAAGAACATAGTGTAAAGAACATAGTGTCCCAACAAATTCCACTCAGCTATTTTGTATCAGATCAAGTTATTCCAGTTTAAGCACTTTAGGATTGTATTGTAGTTGTTAACAAGTCTACACCAGTCATGAAAATCCATACTGTGTTTCCTCCAAGTAGTAAATAGTCTGTAATAAAAATCCAATGTGTCTTGTTTGATCACTACTATAGTAAAACAGTGCTTGTCCTCTATTGGTCAGCTGGGACAAACCCTTCTCTTCTGATTGGCTGAGGCTGCTAGGCATGGGGCACACACCCATACACACACACACATACATGGATGTATTGTGCAATCCCCTGAGGAGGAAATTAGGCCTACCTTATTTTTAAACAGAGCATGATGTTACTAAAGACAAGCATACATGTGCTGAACTTTACACAAGGACATGTACATACCCATTAACACGTTTTTATTTAGACTCCAGTTCTCTTTATAAAAGAAAGACACTATTTGAATTCACAGAAAGGAAAGACTGTTGCATAGCAGACCTCTCATGTCACCCTAATCTCTCACGTCACACCACCTGATATGCTGTGTAACATGAGAGGTCACAAGAACTGCATGAAGCCCCACTAAGCTGGTTAAAACATGGAAGACAAACGTTAGCCATGTGCCAACATTTAAGACAGACATTTTCTTTTCTTTTTTTTCATAGTTCAATATCTAGCCTCTGTAGGTTGTAAAACCTTTTTGGCAAAATGTTTTTGTGATCAGCCAATTTCAAAGTGGCATAAGAAGCTATTAATTTATCAGTGGGCTCTGATTGTATGAGAAATGATTGACTGTGTAATTAAGTTCCTATATGTTATGTAAAGTAAAATGTTTTAGTTAGACAACAATGACAGTAATTTTTGCTGTTCTAATACTAATCGCTCATTCTTTTTCAGATCATGTGTTTCTGAAGCAGAGAAAGAAAGTCCAGGTGTGTATATTTGTTGAAAATAACTGTTTTGCCTTGAACCGAAAGTGTTCTATATCCAAATTTGCAGCTACAGCATAATCTCTAGCAGTTAGCAGGCAGAGCGGGGAGTTGTAAAGCTGAGCTACTGCTATGCTTTGATATTCAGCTGCTTCAGCTTAGTTGGAACTCAGCATAAATCTCTGCCAAGTGTCGGGTCAGGTGTGGGCTGTTCATGCAGTTATGATCCGTACCCTGGATAGCACTGATTATATTTAGTGGGGTCAGAAATGTCCAGTCTAGTGTCCAGTCAAGGTGGTTTTTACAGTCGTGGTTGATGTTTGAGCAGTCAAATAGCGGTGCTTTCTCTGATCTTACTTCTAAATCTTGTTGGTTATGAGAATTACTTTATCAATAGCAACATAAAAACACACGATCTGTATCACTCTTTCATTAGTGATGATGATGATGTTTAGACAGAAATTTCATATTATTTTGAGAAAGACTTGTCACCTCCAACTAAAACTATCATTAATCAAGTCAAAGTTCCCATAAACCATTTCTTCTGTAGGACTGAAATGATTCTGATGGCTACACATTCAAACTGATGAATAAACAGAAGTTGTTTTTATTAACTTTGAAATGTTGTTCCTGAAAGTGTCTTTTGTTTTTTAGCATTATTTAGTATAATTTCTGAATGAATGCATAAATGATCTCATTAATAAAATGGAATCCCGATCTGCTCTGAATATTCATCGAAATTTAAAATGCTGTCAAAAATATGTGAGAAAAAAGCTTTAAGGTGGGAGTGACAACTTTTTTTTTTTTTGCAGTGTGAAGCAGCTAATGTTGCTTTGTTTTCACTCCAGATTCTGATCATCGTGAGAAGAAGTACAAGGCTCATCGTCAGTTTGGGGACAGGCGTGGGGGGGTTATCAGTGCCCGCACCTACTTCTATGCAGATGAGGCCAAATGTGACAGCCAAATGGAGACATTCATAAACTGCATTAAAGCCTCTGGTAAATAGAAGGTTTCTGAACAAATGATTAAGAAGGATAATGTATGTTAGTTAGTATGTGGTTGTTATTACAATAATGACTACACCACTACTCACACTATTAAGGTAAAACAACAATATAAATGGCAGAGATGAATTATATCAGATAAAATGGGTGGACCGTTACACAACAGTGACATAAAATGTGTTTTCAATTTCAGGTGGAGCTTCTGAAGATGGATTTTCTGCCATCAAAATGACTGCTCTGGGGCGCCCCCACTTCCTGGTAAGTTTTCCTTTATGTCCTCAATAATAACTGAAAATTATTACAGAATTTAGGTTAGAAATTGCATTAATTTGGCAACAACTGCACTGTCACTATTAACACAGACATTCAGCTAATCAAACACAAGGTCACCAGTACAGAGTAATGGGGAAATAAAAGTAATAAAGTTTTCAAAATTTGGTATTTAGCTTTCTTTTTAGCCAGGAGGGAAACTGTCACCCGCATTTCACTCGGTGGAGTCACAACTCAGCCTCAAACTGAATTAATGTTCTAAAATGAAAGTTAACAGTGATTTTGTGCAAATAAAACACTGACATGAAAATATGGTTTAAATGCAGTATTATAACTTGATCATTAATGCTTTTGTGTCTGATCAGCTCCAGTTTTCAGAAGTCCTGGTTAAATGGAGAAGGTTCTTTAACTTCCTCGCAGCACAACAGGGAAAGTCTGAAATGATGGTTCTGGAGCAAAAACTGGAGCTGGAGCAACTCAAGGTGTGTGTAATACAGCATTATGCACGCTCCTGCACTGCTGTTCTTTTTTAGTTGTCTCTCTAAGAGTTACTTAGTTGTGTTCAAGTCTTCATGATTGTGAACACTATCCTTCTTTAAGACAATTATCAACTGCATTGCACTGTATCTTTTTTTTAATGAGTGAAGATTTCCTTTGTAGGAAAGCTTGACTAAGATGGGTGTTGGATCCAAGGATGACGTTGAGAATTGGTTTATTGGAGAGAAGCTGGGTTTGTCAGGGTAAGAGGGGAACTCTCATTAGTGTAACAGTTGTATTGTTTACATCAGTACAATATACTCTCTGGCTGGTTTGGTCTTCTTAGCTAAACTACACTAAGTCATCTGCAATAAAACTATTCTGAATGACTTTAATTTGGAATCTGTTTCACCAGAATTTCACATATTTTAACTGTCAGTTTCTCACGTCTTCTTTTCAGAACAATAGATCTCCTGGACTGGAACAGTTTAATAAATGATACAACAAAAATCTCCAATCTGCTAATGGTGCCAAACGTCGAGGTGAGTCTTTATCATGTAAATATTTAGTGGAGTGCTCACTCTGAGCCGGACACAAACCTGGAGCCTCCGTGCTGTGAGGCAATTGCACCACCATGCTGCCCCTATATAAGCATATATACTTTCCAAACCCAACATTGTAGACCCTTTGTAAACCCTACATTTTTCCGGTGAATGCAATTCTAGTTATTGGTGCAATAAACAGATGTAAACTCAATAGTAAAAGATATGTGGCTAAGACAGCAGTTTCTGTTTCAATCATGCTGCTCTCACCCCCCACCATCCTGTTCACAGAGAAAGCAAATCCCAAATGATTTAATGTTTTGTATGTTGGTTGTGCAGACAGGCCACCTGGAGCCTTTGCTGAACAAGTTTACAGCTGAGGAGGAGAGGCAGATGAAGAGAATGCTGCAGAGAGTTGACGTCCTGGCGAAGGTGAGGATGTAGAAACAAATACATGCATTTATTAAATAATTGTGATAAGAAATACATAACAGTATACAACATCTTTATTGTTATTTTCAAAGGCCTGGTTCAGGGAAATAAAAGAACGGATCCTTTAATTTGTCTGTTGCTCCAGCAAGCCATGGAGAACGGTGTCAGACTAATGGTGGATGCCGAGCAGACGTACTTCCAGCCAGCCATTAGTCGACTGACCCTGGAAATGCAGAGGAAATTCAACAGAGAGAAACCAGTCATTTTTAACACTTACCAGTGTTACCTCAGGGTGGGACTACAATTCCCTCACTGCTGTTTATTATGACAATTTTCACTTAAACCAAAATTACTCTTCTTTTTTGTTAAGACTGTTGGTACTTTTTGTAACATTGAGTTTCACCATATGGCTAGAAAAGCCTTGTTCAGTAACAAGCTCCTGCATCATTAAACTGATCAGGATGTTATATGGAGACATAACACACAGCTATCAGGACATTGTTTTAGGAACACTTGATAATTTTGTGATAAACTCTCATGTATTTGTGTTGTAAATGATTTAGGAAGCCTATGACAGTGTAACTGTGGATGTTGAGCTGTCACGACGGGAGGGCTGGTACTTTGGTGCCAAACTGGTCCGCGGAGCCTACATGTACCAAGAGAGAGCCAGGGCTAAGGAGATTGGCTATGAAGACCCAATAAACCCAGACTATGAGGCCACGAACAGGATGTATCACAAGTAAGTCTTGAATTATTTTCAGAGCTCGTTAGTAGATCAGCTAGAAAATATCTAAGTTCTAACCATCTGCCTTGTTGTTTGTTCAGATGTTTAGAGTATGTGCTGGAAGAGATTGAACACAGCCACAAAGCAAATATCATGGTTGCAACTCACAATGAAGACACAGTGAAATTCACCCTAGAAAAGTATGTTTTGTCTCCAGCCTGCTTGAAAAATGGAACATGTACTAAGTGCAGATTTTGTTTGAGCATACATGAAAGCTTTACACCTCTCATTTAAAAAGGATAATCCTAATGGGTTAAACTAATGCCCCGGATACTGCTCTAAGTAAAATGTTTTCTCTCTCCACTTTTCAGTGCTCTTATAGGGTTTACTAAATGATACTGGTACATCAGTGATGGAAACTCAAACTCCAACTTTCATTATGTAATAGTGTGTTTATGTTTTTTTAGGATGAATGATATGGGTCTTTCACCCACTGAGAATAAAGTTTACTTTGGACAGCTGCTTGGCATGTGTGACCAGATCAGCTTCCCACTGGGTATGTTGCACTCAGCTCGGATACTAGAAGTAAATACTAAATCATGAAGGCATATGTTACATGGCGATTTGGGTACAGAGGTTCCACTGAAACATAGTGCACACAGATGTCAGCTTTCTAATACGAAAATGACCAGTGACCTTAGAAATGATATATCTGATCTATAGATATCTTGGAAACAAAGAACTCTTAGTTTCTCAGTGTCCTTAACTGCCGCTTACCAAATGTTATGTCAGTTTCGTTCAGCAGCCTGAACATAAACATATCACCACCCACATATCTGGTGTGAAACCTGTTAGCTAGCCATATTTTTCTTGCCGATAGTATGGGACCTCCCACTGGGTTGGTTCGACCTTGCCATATCACTTGCTAGCTCCTATCACAGCAGCACTGTTAACATGCCATGGAATGTGCACTCAGTGGAGACAATGAACATTGATTTCAAACTTGTCTCCTTGCTCTATGTTGAAAACAGGCCAAGCTGGTTTCCCAGTTTACAAGTATGTTCCATACGGCCCAGTCAATGAGGTCATCCCATATTTGTCCCGTCGTGCTCAAGAGAACCGTGGCATCATGAAAGGATCCCAGAGAGAGCGCAGCCTGGTGTGGAAGGAGCTGAAACGCAGGGTGCTGTGTGGTCAGATTTTCTATAAGCCTGTCTACTGAGTTGCTGGATCACAGTTTCATTACTGCAATATGCCTATAAACATTCCACCATCTTAGCTGTACCACTACCTGTTAATTGCTCTTGCAAAGAAAGCTTAATGTCTGCAGGGCGCTACAATGTGGACATTTCACTTGCATATGGAAGGGAAAATTAGAGCATGTGAATATGAAAAACTTGTAGGTTCACTGGTGTGAGTGACCAGGACTGCCTGTCCTCTCTGTTTTCTGTGTTGGTGTTTGAACAAGGGCAGGGCTGAGATCCTGCGCACACACACAGCAGACAGCGGGCAGAGAGTCTGCCAAGGAGAAAGTAACATCAGAGGAGATGACAGCAAATATGCTCATTACTGTATATGCAATAAAAAGCCAATAAGAGTAATTTACTGAAACCATTAAACAAACATAACCTTGCAGAAAATTGTTATTTTAAGTTTTACCTGCACGTATGTGCTAACCAAAGCGAGTGTTTTAGGCTAATAGCAACAAGCTAAAACCAAAGCTGACAGTATGTAGCCTTACTGTTTAACCTAATTTCAACCATAACTTAAAATGAGCTAAGTCTGGGCTTATATGTTACAGTTTAAAAAGTGATGCATCAATGTTGTTTCTGCCCCTAAATGTTTGTAGCACATTAGGTCCTGAGTACCTTTGCCTGTTAGGTGGTGCAGTTTTACAGTTTTACTATTTTAACTGGAATGATTTGTGATAAAAGATTTATTTTCTGTGATGGTTAATATTTGTCTCTAAAGCAGAATTTGTTTAACTTAACTCTGCAAAAACATTGAAAAACTCATTCTTTCTTTTCTAATTAATTTCTCCAAATGTTTATGCCTCAGAACACTGATATTTTCTGATATACAGCAAGGATTTCTTCAGTAGAGGCAAGAAAAGTAGAGTGAGTATGCTTTGTTACACAATATAGTAACTAAGTAAAAGTACTTGACATCTGTTCCTTTTATACAAAGGCTGTCATGCTGCTTTTTAAAATGATAAAATGTTTTGTTCAATGCCAAATGTTTGTTCAGCACAGTCAACTTGCTGTTACTCAAAAGTGCCTTGTCATTGTTTTCAAAAGATAAACTGGAAGCAATCACTTACTGGACAACTTCATCTTGTTTATGTTACTGCACACTTCTCTAAGTGGTTTGTTAATAATTGTTATGTTTATTGTTGACATTGCATGCTCTGATTTCCTCCTACAGTGCAGCTTAGGTTGATTGGCAACTCTAAAGTTAGACATTATCCAGAAGGGCATCCGATGTAAAATGTTCCAAGTTTAACATGCAAATCATCAGTTGGGTGGCAACTGATGATTCGCTGTGGCAACCCCTGATGGGAACAGCCGAAGGCGGAAGAAGAAGATTGTTGACAATGCATGTGTCACAGTATTAATCAACTTGAACAAATAAGTTGATTATTGTGCAGCCTGGTGCCCCAGAATGTTCCAAAAACATGCAAAGGTTACTGATGCAATTTCCAAGGACAATGGCACCCAAGTACAATAAGAACGCTGCACTGTTGCAGCTGCATATGCTGTATGAGAGAAGAGATCTCCTGTGGTTTCAGTTTGTTACTGTAGAGAAGACTTTAGAAACTGGTTACACATTAGCATCAGTGCTTCTGATGCAGCCCACAGTTTTTGTAAGCTGTGTTGCCCAGTGTAGCCTTCTGAAAGGCTGTGGTTGAATGAAAGTAACGTAAGTAAAGTTCAGTATAAAATGTTTTTCAAAACTGGAAATTAATATTACAGCATTTTTATTTAGCTGCTGAAGATGTCGACAGGAAAGACAATGGGTATGCAACACAGGTCCCCAGCCTAAATCTAAGTGTGGGTGTTGTGGTTATGTGGCATACTCATGCTCAGTGAGAGCACTTCTGTAGTTAGTACCTGATTAGCACAATAAATACACTTAACATTAAAAGAAACCAGAGTTATGTTTACTTTTGTTGAGGATCTAAAGATTGCAAATGGTCCAAAGGACTAATGAGATGAAAGCATCTTAAGCTTCGTGGTTGTCTGGAGAGGATCTATGGAGGAAGAAACTCAAAGCTTGACTGATAGAATGGTCCTTTGCTGCCTTAAAGTTATCCAAATTCCAGCTTCTCACTATAGCAACACCAGAGGCAATGTTGTTCTTACATATCTCTCTCAGTGAAAGAGAACAGATTGTCTTCAAACATATAGTATCTGATGTCAACAACTACAAACATTGCCACACAGAAGTCATGTGGGCTTCCTGTGCCAAATCAGTATGACCTACTACATCAGAGATGGTGCCACAGCTAAAGTCAAAAGCCGCTGAGGCAGCACTTATGCCCAGACTAAAGAAAAAGAGCCAGCCCCATAACACAGCACATGGTTTTCATTGTCTTTAGTTCAGTTTTTATCTTCTGAGCCACTCATGGGGTTAAATGGTAAATGCAGTCAAACCAAACGTTTGGTGTAGATAAACACTAGTATTATGGAGCCAAAATAGCAGCAAGTTAGGGGAAATAATGGTACTTGGTCATATAGGGGCAGGGAATTCCTTGCTCTCTCATGCTTGCATAGTCTTCATAGACTACTTCAATCAGCCAGTGCACCTTCCCTTATCAGAGTGATAATGGTTCCCTATCTGTTGATTAGGACTGGGGGTAAAATCAGTTTCAGATGTAAGAGACCAGAGATATTGTGGAACAGCTGTTGGAGGGTAGAAAAAAATCAGGTAAACAAGATTGTTATGCACGGCTGAAAGAAGTGAAAGTGTGTTTATGGTTTCACAGTAATAGCACAACATTACTCATGCTTTAATTCAGCTGCATCTCCAAAAGTTTTAAGTAACACATTATTTTGTTGGCCATAACATAACCTATCTACATACTGTTATGTAGAGGTGTTTCCCATTTAATAAACCAGTTCAGACCACAGGGGTGGAGAATGTCCATGTGACTTCTTTCGGTTCTCTCAGCCAATGAGCTATAAGTTCAGGGAGTCAGCACAGCATGCGACAGAGGCTTTTCTTTCACCCTGTAGAAAATCTTTACCCCAACACTGCCAATGCTGTCATCTGCAGGTAAATAAAGCTTTTTATATGTGCTTCCCCATACATTTCTCCACATATATTGTTCTCTCATTTATTCTTTTACTCACAATGTTATTTATTCTACGGATGTTCTGGTCGGCAGTAGGGCTACAGAATTGTTATATGAAGCAAAGGCATCTTGCATACTTCTTTAAAATTATTATTATTGTTATTACCACAACTACTCTGTGATTTACACATTATTTATCAAATGTAACAAATGGACAACTGTAGATGATTATCAGTGTCAAAAAAAAGAAGAAGTCAGGGCATGTAAGCAAGGGGACACCTGTTCTGGAATGATTCATTTATCAAGTCTACATAAGCATTTGTCCGGTGTCAGTGGTAGAAACTTGTCAAAAGAATTTGAATAAAGCAACAAAGTCACTGGAATCATTTTAGTAGTTTACTTTTCTTGCAGCAAGGAGACAAGGCAGCATGAGCATACAGATTGGTCTGAGTGAGGTAGGTTCATACAACATAATATATAATAAACAGTTATGCCCTGATTGCGCAGTCTAGAAGCGAATCATACTGGAATACATGCTTATCCTACAGTTGACAGTTGTGTCTCGCTTCGTCTGGAACAGTCTGTAGTTGAGTATATCACAGTACACAGGGTTTCACATGAAAGATAGAAAACGTCCTTCAGGCCTACACAGCCAGTTTCTCACATGGCTGTTCTGAAAGTTTAAAACACATTAAATAGCATAAATCATGTTTAATAACAGAATTTTTATAACAAAACCTATTTTGATATTTAGCTGTTTTCACTATGAATTATTTTCATAAAGTGGGCACTGGGCTGTTTCAAGAGGCTTGTACTTCAACTATTTGAACTCTTTTCAGCTTCAGTTTGTGCTGTTTGCAGTGAAGGCAGTATATCAAGCATAAATAGGCCTGTTTCAAGTATAAACATGGGGGCCTAGAATGAATGATGCAGCAGTATTCTTGGTTATTTTTATTATCTGTACAGTCCCTGAGTACCTACCACTTGGCTGTTCTACAATCAGTCATAAAAATCCCCTTTTAAGATGGTGGTGCAGTGGTCAGCAATGTCGCAGTCAGACTCACAGCAAGTATGTTCTAGATTCGAACCATGTGGCTGACCGAGGCCTTTCTGTGTGGAGTTTGCATCTTGGGTAGTCGGCTTCTCTCTACAGTCCAAAGGTTAGGTTGATTGGTGATTCTAAATTGTTCCCTATCACCCCTGTGATAGACCTGCATTTGTCCAGGGTGTACCCTCTTCGTGACCCTAATCTATACCATTTATCCTAGGGTTGACCCTAGGATAAATGGTATAGATTATGGATGGATGGATCTTTCTTTTAACCTCTTAATTTTACAGTAGATATTACTGCTATAGGTTGCATTTAATTTGGATAGGTATAATGTTTTTAATAAAAATATCACAGATACTCTATTGTATAAAGGGATGAGGTGAGATAAGAAGGGTAAGTAGTTGCCCAGGATAAAACTGCTTCACCTAGATGCTCACTGGTTTTATGAGAACACAATCTACAAGATAAAATTCAGCAAAATGTCTCTTAAAATGTCACAACCTTATTGGTGTTTTCCTGGTTATTATAACTTATATACAGTACATGCATGCTTTTTAATTTCATTTTCAGGTTTGAATTTGAGTTTTAATAATGCCTGGCATCAAAGCAAATGGGTACACAACTGTAATACGAAGGCTGGTTCTCTGGGTTTTATTGTTCAACACCATGCTGGTGCTGTACTGCTTTACAAACCCGACCCAAGTGAAGAACAGGTAAATATTTAAACACACAGCCATATTTTATTGAGGTAAGATTGTTTACTTACCCATAGACATCATTTGCAGGGACTCCCAAGAAGATACGTGTCCTCTACGCATGGCAAAGTTATTAAACAAAAGTGTGATTGTTCCTTCTGAAAGCACAAAATCCAAGTCAGTACAGTGCTCCCCTGCAGTGAACATCATGTTCATGAAGACCCATAAAACTGCTAGTAGCACCCTACTCAACATCCTCTTCAGATTTGGAGAAAAGCGCAAGCTTAAATTTGCCTTCCCTGTTGGACGCAATGACTTCTTCTATCCATCACCCTTCTTGTGCTCCCATGTGAAGGACTACAGGCCTGGACAGTGTTTCAATATTGTTTGTAATCACATGCGCTTTGACCACCAAGAAGTGGCCAAGCTCCTGCCTCCAGATGCCATGTACATTACCATCTTACGTGAACCAGTGGATCTCTTTGAGTCGGCCTTTCATTATTATCATAGAATAGTTCCATTCACATGGAGGATCAGAGGAGAGAACAAATTGACAGAGTTTCTAAAAACTCCTGAGACCTTCTACAGCCCACATTCATACAATTCATTCTATCTTAAAAACCTGCTCTTCTTTGACTTTGGTTTTGACAACAACCTCAAGGCTGATGATCCTTATGTAATAAGGCATATTGATAACTTATCAAAACGTTTTGATCTGGTCCTCATAGCAGAATATTTTGAGGAGTCTCTTATCCTGCTTAGGGACACACTGTGCTGGACCATGGAGGACATTATGTATTTCAAACTAAATGCTCGCAAGAGCTCATCTGTATCTCCACTGACCCCTGAAATGAGAGCCAAAGCTATAGAGTGGAATGGGGCTGACTGGAAACTCTATCAGCACTTTAATGCTACCTTCTGGGCCAGAATAGAGGCATATGGGAGAGAAAGAATGGAACAGGAGGTAAACAAGCTGAGGAGAAGAAATGCAGAGATGAAGTCCATCTGTATTGAGGGTAGAGATGCTGTTGAAGCTCAAAAGATTCAGGACCGACGTTTCCTACCCTGGCAGCCAGTCGGAGACTCTTCCATCCTCGGATACAATTTGAAAAAAGATATTAATCCCAAATTCAGGACAATTTGTGAAAAAATGCTCACGCCAGAAATACAGTACCTATCAGACTTGGGTGTAAGCCTGTGGCTTACTAGACTATGGGGCTTGTTAAAGGATGCTATATTTATACTCTGACAAGGACTAGCACATTTAGTTTTGATGTTTTTCTCCTATTTTGTATATTTTCTTGTGAAGTGCATCCACAGTGTCAATTCAAATTTGTCACCTGGAATCTAAATTCCCCTATGGATGCATTCATACCCCTCCCAGTTAGGTCTACAGATGGGTCACAGTTACTTCTGAAACCCTCATTCCTTATGTTGGTCCCATGCTGCATCTCATCCTTTGCTGTAGCTTTCAAAATGGTGCAAAGCAGTGCTAAAGTCAAGTGTTTACACTCTTTTTAAAATGGGTTCAGGTTTAAAGTGTGAACAGCAGTTCTCCTCTCTGTTGTTATACCTAACTCAGTAATACATATGAGCTTTAGTTCTTGTGTTGGAATTTATATATTCCATGTTGTATAAATATTGGATTGAGTAAAGCTTATTTATTTGATTGTACATCAGTGGTTCACTGTAACAAAAGCATTTACTGGTATAAATCTGAAATTTGCCAGCCTTTACATTTTGTGATGTGCTTTGTTCTACAAAAACCTGTTTTGAAAAATGCTAAGATAAATTGTAATTACTGTGGTTGTATTTTTACTTTTTTTTAACTTGGTATGCAGGCTTAGTCAAAGCAGTTGGCTGTGCACATTACATGATCATGTGGCATTCTGGTCTCAAAATCAGGCTCAAGCCTCTGCAACTTGTAACCTAAACCCTTCTACCACATTTAGCCTTTCCACTTTGAACTATATAACACAGAAGTGCCACAAAACAATCCATGCATCCATCCTTTATCTATACCACTTTTCCTGAAAAGGGTTGCAGGGGGGCCAGAGCCAATCCAGGGCTGCAAAAACAAGCCACACCAACACATTGACATATTAGACATTACCTCTCTAGTTATACACTGGAAACAAGATGGTAGAAAATGTTTTTCCTTGCTCTAGAAAGTTCTCAAATTGTGTGCCTTATCATTTAGTGTTCTATATAGCAGTTTGCATGTACAGCCAGTTTTAATAACATGCACTGTAACTAAGATAATATAATCCTTAATTGTCATTGTAAGGATCTCCACATCATATTTACTTTATTAGAAATATTAAAGGACTTTTTTTTAAAGTGATGACTAACCTTGAATTTGTAGTTTAAAAGCCCAAGTCCATCCAGTTTAAAAAAAAAAATCTATTGGATAAATATTTGACATCAGCAGTGTATTTCACTGAAATGCATACCAACTTACTTCTGTCTGCTCACATTTACATTTTTTCTCAGTTTATGTATTTTGGCTGCCATAAATGACACAAAAGATACGTCAGTAATTATAAATAGTTACTGCCTTATGACAAGTACTCATCCACAATCGACTTTGAAAAGTAGAATTAATCAGAACGCTATGACAATAATTTCACTGAGACATGCATGCAATATTCAACATGATAAATCCAAACACTGCGAGATCTGTAAGATATTAACACATGTTTAATTTAAGCATTTACACGCTATGAAGAGAACAAAGGCATTACAAATAATCAAGAAGAGGGGGGTCGAGGTGACAGGGACCACTGCTCTTCATGACGGCCTGGATAGTCAAGTCACCTCCACCTCCAGCCACCATTGGTCCTCTGGGAGCCTCCGCCAGCCTGGGCATGACTTTGAACACATTGTCCATTCTGACTGATGCTTGATTTAGGTGTGGAGACCAAGGAGAAGAGATAGTAGAAGTTTGCCAATAGTTGCACTCTATCCTTGGAAACTCCGGGACCACGGCCTATTTCTCGTCATTGTTCTCGTAATTGTGTTTGATGTGTTTCCATAGCTTCTACAATGATACAAAGATATGATGAGTTTAAACACTTAATCCAAACACACTGCATTTCGAGTTACGAATGTAAAAGGGTATGCTTAGCGGGGCTAAGATAGCTTAGCTAACGACAACGCCGCTTCGCTTGTTTTATCCTGACCTTGTAAGGTCAGGATAAAACAAGCATCAAAATACCAAGAGATACACTTACTCCACGATTCACGTGGTCATAAATCGCCTCAGCACCTTGGTCAAACATTCGTTCAAAGACGACCGCCCCAACCATTACGGTTAGAGCGAAAGTAGATGTTCTCCTAAAGAGCAAATTGTAGACAGAACTCGCCAGCGCCATGTTGGTGGGACAGTGCGCATGACCGGATGCTTTTCAAACAAGAAACCTGCGTTTCAGGGAATGTCTTGGTCGCTCCATAACATTATTGACCCTGCAATGATACCGTAGTTTGAACATGGGCAGTACTAGTAGGGCTTTATTTATTGTCTGACAAATTTTGCGCTGCCTTTTTAAGATAAATTCACAGAAGACATCACTGTTCCAGCACGGGTTTGTGTTATTTGCTGTCTAAATTCTATGTACTGACGGTCTGAAATTGATTAATATTGATGTGACATTAAGAGTGTGAGCTAACTATCCAGCTTTACCAACACTACGGACAACTGTGTAGGATTGTTAACTCATGTTACGTTTAGTTACTGTCCGTTTACACGCTAGTTTATCCATTCACTTACTCAGTATATTCATAAACAGTTTAGTACCTAGGGACATTTGCTGATTTTGGGTTCGATGCATGTATAAGCTAAGCTGAACAGGAAGTCATACCAAGGCATATTCAAAACAAAAGTTGATTTAAACGACGCACTTCAATTATTCTCACTAATCCAATAGAAGGGAACAGTCACTTGTTTCGTGTTCATGACAGTACAGTTTTGGGATTAATAGGCCAAAAATAGGTCAGTTCTGTAGTATTATATATTATTTGTGTTACTGGTTACATAAAACGTGCAGTTTCAAGATGTTACCTTAGGCTCCAGGAAGTTATGAAGAGCATTTTTGGCATTTTATTAATATTTCTTGACGTTTTAGGAAAAACAAATGACAGATTAATTGTTCATGAAGGCAATCGTTTGTCCAAACGCAGGACATTGTTTTCTTAGATATGTGTGTGTGTGTTTTTTTTAATTTATTAATCAGAGAATATATTACATAAATATGCCAATATTTAACAAATAAAGTGACTTATCGCAAGAACTATTTACATTAGTGAGGCTAATCACAGAGCAGTTATATAAAATTGTTTTATTTCTGTTTATGCTCTTTCAGAGGTTTAAAAGGTGACATTGTGCTGATTTGAACACATAACCTGCACCATGGGGAAGAGATACTACTGTGACTACTGTGACCGGTCGTTTCAGGACAACATGCATAATAGGAAAAAACATCTGAATGGTGTTCAGCATCACAGAGCTAAAAAGGCCTGGTTTGAACACTTTAGAGGTGAGACTTGAAGTTGTTTCAGGAAAAACCATGCCAGGTAGTCTTATACCTGTATAGAACTTTTCTATGCATTACAGTAGGCTCAAAGTGCTTTCACACTATTCACATTCCCAAGCACTCACACATTCACACACCGGTGACATCACCGGAAGCAACTAGGGGTTCAGTGTCTTGCTCAAGGACACTTAGATATGCGGATTGGAGAAGCCAGGAATCTAACCGCTTGACCTCCTGAGCCGCAGCCACCCCTAAGATTTTATGACATATGATGTTTTACTCTGGGCTTTTTTAACTAGGCACTAGACGGTGCTCTTACACGTAACAATTTTCCATTTAAAATGCTAAGCAAGCTTTAAACCTATCAGTGAGATTATGATTGGAGAATTAAGTATGCTTACATTTCATTATGCCATCTTGGCTGCCAGGCCATTTAAAGTTGAAGATTATATAAACAACCATGCACACATTACTGTTTTTCTTTTTACAGATGCTGCAGCCATTCTGTATGATGAGCAAACAAAGAAACCCTGCAGGAAGTTTCTTCAGAAAGGTAACAGAACAGTTGAACTGAATATGTATTTAATAATGAGGAAATTATATCAATTGTTTGAAGGTAATTATCTTCTTTTTTTGAAATTTTGTTTTTAGGAATTTGTGATTTTGGTCATAACTGCAGGTTTTCTCACATGTCCGAAGAGGAGATGTTTAACTTAAGAAGACAGGTTGAAGGTAAGCTGTAACCAAAGGGTGGTGCTGTTTACCTTGTGATTTTGAACACTGCAAGTGAATACATTACATTCACAGATGTCACATATACTCATCATGGTCCAGTTTATTTACGTTTCAGTTGCAATATGGTTGTTAGATATATCTAATGCACTAGATGGTGAGTTTCAATCCAAATTAAAGAATGGCAAGAATGCCAGGTACTTTGGGTCAGCACTTACACATGCATTCCCCGAAGAACTGTTTAAAGAAATCGGTAGTTCACAAATACAGGTGACTGTTTTGAATTGTTGCCTGTTACCAAAAGTAAGCTTTTTTTTTTTACAGAAGAAAGGCGGCGTAGAGAGGACACTGAGGGCAGAAATATGCCTGAACGAAGTATAGAAGAATGGCTCTCTAGAAGGGAAAAGAAGCTAATAGCCCTCAGTAGCAAAGGGTATGCACATTCATTTTTGTTTCAGCACTGTCATACATGGTCAGCATGGCTAATGGTTATTCCAATTGATTTAGAATTCATCTGTTCAATCATTTATTTCTGTAGAAATAAAAAAAATAAGGAAGACAGTGAAGACAGCCAAGTAGAGATTGACGTACCTCAACAGCTTCTCTCCATTCCTGACCTTCCGCCCTCACTTCTACCTCCTCCTCCAGGTGGATGGAAAGTCAACACTGAATGGGGTTGAGCGATATTCACTTTGTGGTTGTTAAATGGATATAAGTTGTTATCAAGCAATGGTCTTCCATGCGCATTTGAAAGTTGGAAATACGAGTTTCAGTTGATACCCAGAACCTATTTTTTGCTATTTCTTTTTTTAAATAAAGCCAGTGCTAACTAACCCTTATAAATGACATTTTGAGAATGTCACTGTGATAATATGGTGTTGATTGTTGCACCAGTCAGGAGTTGAGCGCCTTTACAAGGAGTCTTCTCTATGGAGTTGAATTTAATGTCATGTAGTCCCAGCAGGAGAGGAAGATTGCTGAGGCGATGGAATGAATATTTTTACTTTAATCCTGTGTTTTGTCACTGGGGGAATCAGTGATATCATGTAATTTCATTTATTTCTAGTCCAGTCACTGGAAAACAGAATTCACCTCCTAAATAGTAAAGATGGCAAGCTACTGATCTGAACGAAAGTTGGTAATGTGGGGAAGGAAAAGCAGTCATCATGTTTGTTGGATCTCAAGGATACACACAAAATGTTTTTGTGATAAGCACTGAATATAAATGAAATGAAAGAAAAATCTATAAAGTACTTTTTAAATAAAGGCTAGACTGTAAAAAGGCAATGGTGAATTCTTGTTCTTTTTTTTATTAAAATCTATTTCCCAGTTGCATTTATGTAGAGAGCCAGCAGATCCTGTGGCCTTGCAATTAGTCAATACGTCATGCATTCTGAAACTTGTTTGACACTTGTTATGTCCCACTTGTGACTGATGTGGCATTTCAAATGGAAATTTCACATCAACAACCTGAGTCTATAGGTGTATTCATTACAATAAACAGAATGACACTCCCACTCCTTGTCTCAGCTCTAATTCCTCCGACATCTAACCCACATTATGTCCACCGACGCTTGGCTCTCAAGCTTTCCTCAGTAACCTGTTAAATTATCTTAACTGACAGTGCATGTTTTGTTTCACTGGACCCATCCAAACATTTTTTCCCCAAAGCTGAGGTGCTTGTGTGCATGCTATTACAGAAAGTGCACCTCTCTGTAGCTCAAGGAAAATGGTCTTTTTCTTTTTTACTGTGGTCTGTGTGTTGTGCTGTTACTAATGGATCCTTAACATGCCAGACAGAGCAGCGACAGGGCCATCGTACCACCAGATCCTGACTGTTCTCTCCTGCTCTGAAATGGTCGAATGACTAATGAATTCAGACTTTTACCGTTTTCATGCATTCCTTTCAGAATTGCCTCTTCTTTTTGAGAGGCGATTCGTACCTTTTCTATCATAAGGCTGAGACTTTGGAACGATTTACCTCTCCATATTAAATTGTTAAACCCCCTGATTGTCTTCACATCTCTGCTTAAGATTCATCTCTTCTCACTAGCCAAATAGTTCTGACCCTGTCTATCTTCTTTGATCTTTTATGTTTTGAATACTTTTTATTATCCTATTATGTGACTTAATTATTGTCTATTGCCATGTACATCACCTTGGTCGGCTGTTGCTTTAAACCTAAATCAACATTGACATTCTTTTTCTTCTTGTTAGCCTCACTGCACTTGACATTAGTATAAATTGTGTGTGACTATGACCATATATAAATATTCTCAGTGAATGTTGCTCTTTAAAGGTTAGTTATATCCTGATGTAATTTGTAAGCACTGTCACATTAAAACAAAGAAAAACAAACAGCTAGCTCATTTTTAATGCCATTGCTTTGGACTACATGCATTTAGACCCCACTTACATTAGTGTATAATTGATGCAGTAACCTCCACATACTGTATGCAGTAACACAGAAATAAAACAGTGCACGATATTCTCAACCTAGACATTAAAATACTGGTCACACAGCAGGATTGTACAACAAATATTAACTGAAAAATCAGTTTATCAAGAAAAGAGGAGAAAGGAACATAATACAGAAATCCTTATTGGTAATTAAATTACTCATAAGTCATTTCAATTAAAATGTTGTCATAATGGATTTTCCATTTTTCTAAAAGTCTTTCTAAAGTTACTTTAAGACAAGTCATGTGCAGAGTGCAGTTTTTAATACGCCAAAGGCACAGAACAGAAGACATCTACAGTTCAAATCAAACTTACCGTATAACAACACTTAAGACAATCCATTAACAAAGTGTACATAGAACTGCTCATTAAAACAGTGTAACATACAGAATAGGACACAATATTTTGTTATATGCCTTAAGACAAGATTTGTCATGGTAAGTATATTTAACATTCACACAAAACCCACACCTTACATGATATGTTCATATGGAGAGGTAATGCAGTGTAATATACTGTAAGTAGTTAACACATATGCAGCTACTGTATATGAGATAAAATATCAGTTTTATTGCCAGAAGTGTTCTTACTGTTTCACACGTTTCCTCTTGGGGTCTAGCTTTGATAACACTTAAAATAAAAAAAAAATCAAGACAAATCTGTACCAACTTGTCAAATTTGACAATTATTAGTTAAAGAATACATTCAGAGAAATAAATCTTAACAAATCCAAAAAGTTAATGTAAGTGCATGGCCTTAATACACACAACAACTGTTATCTGAATGTCCAGTCAATCTGGAAATTATACATCAGAAACGTGATATTTTTGGATTTTTTTTTTTTTTTGCAAAACCGTATGCTTACATTCATAATAAAATCACATAGATAGATTTAATGATTCACTTTTTCAAGTAAGAAAATATAACCATGTTATATATTAAACAATATGTTGTTTTTGTGGTCCATGTAAAAGCCAGAAAACAACATTTTGATGATATGTTAAATTATAGTTTATAGCATACTGCAAAGTATTTTATATTGTCTACACATTCACAGAAATAGACTTTTACAGTAAAATGTCAAATACTGAATTTTTTTTTCTTTTTGCAATGTTCACTTTACAAATTGCATAATTATTTTAGTACACACACCAGATTTCACACATCGGACACTCACTTGTTTCTAATTTACTGTTCCGGCATATGTGCTGTATGAATACTGACTTGCTATAAATATTACAGTGAATACAGTTTTGTCAAGACTCAAAACTTTTCATGGTTAAGTTAATTCACAGCTGATAGGTCAAGTCATGCAGCTACTAAAATGTTTGTTAGTGTGAGTCATTGTTCCCTCTTGTAGATACACAAATTTGAAATATACACCATTATTGTGAATATACTACAGGCAGACAGAAACATGTTTTACCAGCTGTTTGCTGGTGAGGGAATCGATATCTGTCTTCAGAGTCTGGGTCTCTGGAAAACTATCCATGCACATATTTTTGTCAAATATTTCTTAGAGGGATTTTATGAATTCCTTCTTTAATTTGGAGTTCGTTGTTCATTTCAGTTTAATTTTTAAACCTACAAGTTCAAGTTCCATTCAACTGGGAAAACAGATGTTTGATTCACAAAGCAATCCCCAGCTGCTCAGTCAGAACTGCTCAATTTGGACATCTTTAGAAATGGACTGTGGGATTTCTCTGCAGAACAGCTCACTAGAGTATAAAGTATACAGTTGTGGGTCTTCATGATGTCAGTCTTTCTCTTTTTAGCGGTGCTATCCAAAGTGTTACTACAATATGCTTGTTCACAACATTATTTTGATTGTTGGGGTATTTAATCTGCTTATTGTCATGGTTGTGCATTTGATTGATGAACCTTTTTCATTTTATGACTTTCATATGCCTTTAAGTCAGTTAAAGGTGAGGTGTGACTTGTTGGATAATAAGATAAAGCTTTACAACATATGAAAATGTGTGTTGTCCTAAAGCTGTGTATACAAAATATTTGAAGTGAGTCTCTCTGAGGCTGCACTTAGGCATAGCAGTGCTTTAAGCTACATGCTAACACTAGCATGCTTAACATTGTCAGTGCTAGCATGCATATGTTTAGCAAGGATAACGTTTACCATGTTCCTCATCTTAATAGTTTATGAAAACATTAACATTTGCTACTTAGCACTAAACACAAAATACAGCTGACACTCAATGGAATGGCATTTGTTCTACAAGACCCTGGTTGCAAACCACAGTAATAGGCAAATTAAAAATGTGTTGTGCTGATGGCATTAAATAAAAGGTTAAAGAATCAGCAACTATATTACAATTAATCCTGAGTGGAACATAAATGTATATAATTTCATGACAGTTCCCCCAGTAGTCACTGAGACATTTGTCTCAGAACCACAAATGTCATGGCAATGTTTTACTATAGATATCTCATGGCAATCTGTCCAGCAGTTGTTGAGAAATTTCTGTTTTGATCAGAGGGGAAACTGACCAACCAACAGACTGCACTGTCATCCCTAGGCATTCTTCTAGAATGGCTACAAATTTGTCAGTATAATCTGTATCTTATTCAGCAGATTTGTATAGACACAGGGACTTTTTTCTGGGAAACTCAAGAATTAAGTAAGTTTTTTTATGTAGTCCAGTCTGGTGTTTTGAATTGGTGAGGCAACTGTTTTGATAAGATTTATATCACAAATGGTGCCAGTTTAGGAAAAGCTGTTGAAGTGGATGTGAGCTGGAAATCCTGGCATACTAGGGCAAACAGAGACTTTAAAGCTAGACATGATGCAGTACAGTCATTTGTCCTTATGGTTTTAGTAAGCAATATAAATCTATGCAATATGTAGCCCAATAATACTTTTATATTGCTTTATTACTATCATTGGCAATACCATTATTGAATGCATTCCAAATGGCAAGGTTCTCATGAACAACATTAATTATTTTAACATTATTAGACACAACACAGCTATTACTACAGCAATATGTGTACAGTGAAATATTTTTTAGAAACATCAGAGCTTGAATGAATGAGATGCTACTGTTTACTATTCAGCCCTTGAAATGTCTTTCTTTTGTTCTTTCTGTTTTACCATGGTATGCTATGATCAGTGGTCATACAGAACCACTGCATGACATCAATTCATCAGCTATAGAGAGAAGCTGCGATAGTATCATTATGGGTGTCAAAAAGATTAAACAACCCCCCCCAAAACGTAAAGTATTTTGGTCAGTGTTAACTTTGTTAGTGTCCATCCTATCCCATTTTTTTGTAACCAGCTGGAAACATGGATTTACTTCATTCCTCTGCGGAGCATTTGATTTGCTGCGATGAGCATAACGCTGATGATGAATGCAATGGCGAAGGCACAAATCAAGCTTTTACGCACACATGTGTGTTTTTCTTGTTGTGTTGGGCTTGCTGAGGAAAGATTTTAAAACATATATTAGAACACCCAAGTGTTTTAACAGAACTTTAAACATGTCTGAACAATGTGTAATATAAAATCTTTATGAGACATACTGTCAATGTCCACGTGAGAGTCTGTACTGTTCAGGTGGTTCTCCTCAGTCATGATTATGTTCTCAATGTCTTTCATGGTGAGGTGGTCACGAAAAGTATCATACAGCAGTCTCTTAAGCTCATCCACAGTCAGTTTTTGCATGTCACACTGGAAAGACAAGAAAACACCATGAAAAGTCTAATTAACAGAGGAAAATCTTTTGCCTAGATGCCCCGCAGTGATGCACATAAACTGCAGGTTGTCTATAAATATTAGCTGTAATGGGTAGCTCCTGGCCATGAATGCTCATTACTGTGAGAACATTCAGTGGGCTATTCCCTCAAAACAGCATATCATCAACAACATCATATATTTTTGGGACAGGGAAATAAATTATTTGATTATGCAAGTAAATGCAAGTATAAAGATGCTGTATGTGAAATAATAATCAGCAATGTGTAGTCTGTCAAGGCCATTCCAAAAATCAAGAAGTGAGAAAGTTGAAAAGTAACTTGGAATATAAAGCACAACATGACAATTACATTAGACTCATTGTTTTTAAATGACTAAATTTAACTTCAGATTTTCTTTATGTTGTAATTTTAATTAAAACACATAGCTCTTTATCAAAAATAACTGAAAAACCCACAGGAAAGGAGAAGGCACAGACTAGATTAGACTTGATTGATGATACTGATAATAACAGATACCTTCCAAAACACTGAATCAAAGTCTGCTCCATGAAACTTATCAGGCATTCCAGCAGCGGAGAGTTTAGGGCCCAGCAATGTGACAAATTCTTCAAAGCCAACCTGGCCATCACCTGATCGAAAAGACAAAATTACAAACGTGTCACTGTATAGCTCATGGTGTGGATTATATGCAGCAGCCTGTGCACTCATGAACTTGTTGACCCAGAGAGTAAGAGAGAGAGAAATGTACCATCCATGTCAAGTCTTTGGATGATAACCTCCAGCTCCACCTCATTGGGCATGTAGCCCAGTGAGCGCATTGCAGTCCCCAACTCCTGCTTTGAGATAAAGCCATTCCCATCTCGGTCAAATACTTTGAAGGCTTCTCGAATTTCTGTTGGAAGAAGCAGGGTAGTAGCTGAGTTAAGAGCAGAGAGAATGGAGGCAGAGAACAACAAGCATGTTTATGCAGATTTATCACTTTCCACTTCTACACTGAGACTAACAGCTGCCTCAGTTTATTTGAAATATGGTTGCACACTCTGTTTATTCTAAGAGTTAAAAGCAGTGTAATGTTGACAAATGTGTCTGAGCAAAGTTATTCTGGACCATAGCTCCAAAAGTACAACCCCTGTTTCTCAGATGTTCATTTTTTGAGAAAAGTGAAGCATACAGTAGCTCAATATTTTAACATATTTTGTGTTTCAAGAGTAAAAAATGAGGGAGTGAAACAATTTACACTCCGTTACTGTTTAAAATTCCATAGAGGCATCCAGAGTGTAAAAAGTACTAAAGAGTCTGAACAAGGCATTACAGAATATGTTTGATGATACTTTAGATTTTCCTTACTTACCAGCAAAAATATTACAATTATCTGTGTAGTTAAAGCCTGATATAGTGTAGGTTGTTCATGTGTACCATAGACCTTCACCTCCACATTAAAAACACATCAATAAGCCACAGTGTTGTCCTTGGTGACATGTTCCATTCAAGCATGTACTAGGTATAAGCAAATTGATATTGGATTATGTGTAAAATTATGTGTGTTGTCATATCAACTGTCTTTACATGCTTGAAAAAATAAATCAAATCAAATCAAATCAAATGTTTCTTCAGTATGGTGAAAATGGTTAATCATTTCCATTGAGTAATTCACACATACGCTACCTTGCTATCATAAATGCCCACTATTGCAGCAAATTTGCTGAGCTAAATAGTCCCCACTGCATACTCTAGTCCTGTTACAGTAACATGTGCAGATTAGCTAGAAGGAAGACAAGTTAAGAAAGTCCAAAATAAAAAGCTCCCATAGTTTGCATTTATAAGCAGTGTACACAAAATTTATAAATTGATTATAACACATTATATTTTAGTTGTAGCAATTATGTAAACTTTGTTTTTGTTATAGTATAGCAGATGTTTGCAATTACTTCTATAAAGACAGACAGACAAAGAAAGACACAAGACTGAAGGTAGAGACCATAGTTGAGTGATGCAGCACCATGGACAGAGACCAAGACACTGTAGTCAAATGTTTCAGTACCATGGACAGAGACAAATACACTGTAGTTAAATGGTTCAGTACCATGGACAGAGACAAATAGGGCTGAGTTAAATGTTTCAGTACCATGGACAGAGACAGAGACACTGTAGTTGAATGACTTAGTACCATGGACAGAGACAAATAGGGCTGAGTTAAATGTTTCAGTACCATGGACAGAGACCAAGACACTGTAGTTGAATGACTCAGTACCATGGATAGAGACAAATAGGCCTTAGTTAAATGTTTCAGTACCATGGACAGAGACAAATACACTGTAGTCAAATGTTTCAGTACCATGGACAGAGACAAAGACACTGTAGTTGAATGACTCAGTACCATGGACAGAGACAAATAGGCTTTAGTTAAATGTTTCAGTGCCATGGACAGAGACAGAAACATTGACTCAATACCTCATAACACAGTTGACTATGACAGAAAACAGAGAGCTCAGTCCACGTGTTTATAATTAACTACAACCCTTTGGTAAATAATCCATAATAATCCATTGCCTTTTGACTCCTGTCCTCACCATGAAATGGTAAAAAGACCACTTGCACATCAAAAGCAGAACCTGAGTAGTTTATTTTGATGTAGATCTTCAAATATTCAAGGCTCTTCAGTGTTTGCTCAGTAGTTAGTGTATAAAACATGACAGGCAACTGAACTGGTATCATTTATAAACCAATGTATAAATGATATAATTCAATACATGATATATTGGAAACAGAGATGGGAAACTATTACAAAGAGTAAGTAAATGAACTTAAAATTAACTGAATCAGCAGTAACAAAGCTGTACTGAACTGTACTGAAGCTTATCTAGGCTAAATTATTCAACATCATAAAACATCATCATAAGATAAAACATACACCAAACTCTACTCTATATGTTTTATTTAAAAACTATTGCTAAACCAAAAACTTGGATGAACTTAATTTGATCTTCATATGCATACAAATTCATTGAGTGCTTCTACGAAGTAGAAAACTATTTTGCATGCAAGTATATGGATTAGACAAGCACCACCTGTGTTTTGGATGCAAGCCCATAAATGGAAACCATCCATCTTGTGTACATGAATGAGTGAGAGACCGCAATTAACAAGTGATAGCCTACAGTAATAGCCTATAGTCCTGTGAGAAAATAGAAGAAACTATTATAAGAATATAAGAAGCCAGCCGCTGGTGTGTAAATTGAGGTCCTCCTGGACAAGTGACAGTGGCTGCACCATACCTTGACATATCAGACACAACATATTTGTCTAAATTACAGCCAGCAGCGCTGCTTGAGTTTTGTTATCTTCCTCTAGCACCACCCTAAATTCAATGGCATGACCTCTGGTGCCAGAGACAAATAATGAATTCATTGAACCAACTGAGCAGTGGCTGGACTACTGATTGTTTCTTACCATGAGGAGTGGATATTTTTAAAAATGTACAGATGCAACCACAGCAGGGATAGAACTACTGCGCTTCTGTAAAGATAATTATCATTACACTGTAAGCAATTGCTGTAAATTTACAGCCAATTTCCAACACTAAAATACTGTTTTCATGTTAAACAGTTTAGTACTGTAATTAGCAATGCATTGTGGGATGCTTAACTTGAGCAATGGGATAGAGGCCCTAAACAGTATGCTGATGTTTTAAATTACAGGAAACTACAGTAATTTCTGGAAACTGAGTGTTGAGTGGGGAATTTGGAGCAGGGTCAGAAGTTTGATTCAACGTTAGTCTTTTAAATTGAGGCTACTGCTTTTGGTCAATTTTCTTTAAAAAATACATAAATAATTTGCCATCAACTCCTGGAGGGACTCATCATTTGGATAGGAGATTTTCCAGAAGAGGACGCACAGTTTAGATGAGGTGCTGCACATCATCGAGTGTTCTTCATCAACATCTATCGGGTCTTGCATCAACAAATGAAACGGTAATTAAAATCTTATTCATATTGCCAAGAATCTTTGATATCAAACTGATGCTCAGGAGCTTGTCTTGCTAGGGATTTGAACATGTCAATTATGAGGCTTAGATTTGAATGGCCAAAACAATATTACTTTTGGGTTGTTGTATGTTTAATTTTGGTAACATTAGCGAACGTCTGCATCCGAGGAACAACGCTCGTTAACCTTGTTAAGAGACCAATCAGATCTGTTGTCATAACTGTTCCACAATAGTGACATATGTAAGGCACATGAGAATTCATAAAAATACACCTAATTTAACTTTTAAGTGTGTTTTGCCAGGTTGCAGTCAGACTTTTCAATACTTTTCAACGTTTAAGTGTCACATTTACAGACATAACAAACGTATAGTTAGGCCTACTTTGTCTGGTGTTGAACTAACATGTCATGTTGATATCTGCAGTGCAAGGTGTGAGACTCTGACGGCATTTTACTCTTATTTGAAAACACACATTTGCGAAAACAGCTGCGTGTCCTTATAGACACTGTAGCAAGAGCTTTACAGTTTTATCAACATTCACATCACACATGAGTCGGAAACATCAAAATGGTGCTGAGGAAACTTTGGCTGAGTCCGTTGTGAATCCTGGTGTTTCCCATGAGAGTGAACAAGATCAGTCTGATATGCAGATTGATCCTCCCAGTGATGCAGGTGATGAACAAGAGATTTACCCAGAAATTGCTGATGAATCACAGTTCTTTACAAATTTAGCCCTTTTTTATTTGAAATTGCAAGCAAAGTGTTTGCTTCCATCCTCTGTCATCCAAACAATTATTGAAGATTTTCAGGAAATACATGATATAAGCCAGTCACATTTGCTTTTCAAACTAAAAGAGAAGTTGATTACACTTGGGATTTCTGAAGCTGACACAAACAATGTGATTGAAGTCATGAAAACGGAGGATCTCTTTACGACCTGCAACACTCAGCCACTGAAAACTGATCAGAAAAGAAAAACAGTTTTCAAGAACAGCTTCAACTATGTTGAGCCAGTCCAGATCTGTCTAGGTCAGAATGAGGCAGGCAAAGAGTGTTTTGCCCAGTATGTTCCTATTAAACAGACAATTGATTCTCTATTCCATTGCCAATCAGCGCAGGAACAATATAAGCAAGTACACTCCAGTATTGGTTCTAAGGATATTCTTAAGGATGTGTGGGATGGCAAACATATGGCTGAGAATGTGCTCTTCCAGATGAGGTGTGTATATACGTGTGTGCATATATATATATATA